TTTACAAAATTGACTTGTATTGTTCAATCGCGGGACTATGTCTATTGTTTACAAATTATTATCCACGACTGGCAGGATGCATGTCGGTCGGTACGTAAGTATAATAACAATATGGCAATAGTCCTGGTCGGAAGCGTTTCCGTGGTGGTCGCTAATTTTGAGTGCCGGTCGGGCCGACAAGTGTGACGAGATCCCTAATGAAAAAAGCACTGTGGCGGTCTTGCTAATCACCGTGGCGGTGTCAGACCAGTGTGGCGGCAAATCGAAGCACTGTGGCGGGACCGCCACGCTGTTTACATCCTGGGGAGAACACTGGTTTTTTTAGTACTTGAAGAAAAAAAAAATATTATTATGATCACAGACCCATTTTCTTCATTTTTATCAGTATTTATAAATTTCACATTTCAACTGACCAATGGAATAACATTAGAACATTTTCAAATGATGTCACTGCACACTGTGGTAGTTGATTGGTTGGTTGGTTTTATTCCAATTGCCATTGAAATTTTTAAATATTGATAAAAATCAAGCAAATGGGTTTGTGGTCATTATATTAAAAGCTGCAAGCTTAAAATTGTTAGCATATTGGTTCGATGCACTTGAAATGCCACCAAAATGCTTTTTTTTTTCTGGCAGGTGCCTCTATTGGAGACTTTCTAAAGCCAAAAAAAGAAAATTTGGTTCTTGTCTTCTTAGCAAATACAGGCATTAAAGCATATACCCTAGGAACTATGATTAATGGTTTATTTGGACCGACCGATCAATCTTCCTTTGAAACAGAAAACAAACATTTTTCCAATGTGCTGTATGTGGTGCAGTTTACCTGTACACAAAAGCGCAGTTGATGTGCAGGTATCAAATGGAAGTGTATAATAACGAGAAGCAAAACTAATTTTTGTTTCGTTCCAAATAGAGAAACAAATAACATGACCCTTTATGTGACGATAATGTTGTGTCATTAAAATTAATATTCTATATTGATCTATATCTGCAAACAATTAATGACCAAAAATGCTTAAAATACCTTTTTTTTTCATCATGTATTTCACACTGACAGAATAAACACAGTGAATATGCAAGGCATCAGTCTAGAATATTCTTTTATAAAATTTTACTTGATTATGGGTTTTTTTTCATTTGAAATCAGGAGGGGCTTGCTGAAGTAGGTTTTATGCAAATATTTTACTCAAATATGCCAGACGACATTTTTATTCACATTTGTTTTTACATTGCATAGTCATTATGGTAATGTTTGCTTTTCTTTTCTTCCTTCACATTAACTTTTTTCGCCAGCTCTAGTTTTCAATTTGTATACATATAGCAATAAGTTCTGTGATTGGTTGCTATGGACAGAAGTGCATCCAATGATCCTTGTTATAAATATTTACATGTATATAAATGTTTATTTATATATTTATCTATTTTTCAGGTTTCAAATAAGCACCTACTACACACTGTAGTAGCTTTATATGATAACAGTCTGCCAGACATTACTCCAGAAGTGTTATACGCAACAGTGTGTGATAAATGGGCCAGGACATTATTACTTCTCAGGGACACTCAAGGTATTGCATTGCTTATTACTTCATGCCATATATCTGTTTTGTAGGGTCTACGTTTCTGCATGGTTACCAAATAAGATAACTGTGGTTTATGCTTATGACCAGAGATAATATTGCACCAGTTGCTAGGTTCAAATCACACAAATTAAATAAATAAGAAAATTATATAACTTTTAAATTATTTTTGTCTTGAACTACTTGCTTGTATAAATACAGAATTAAGACTACTATACCAATTACTTTCATTTTACTAGTTTAATTTCTGCTGAAAATCACTGTTTTGGTATTTTCACTGATTTGTCATAAATTACAATCATTAGGGAAAATAAATATTTTCACTGGATTTTGGTTTGCACTTCCAATATGGCAACTGTGATGTCATAATCAGTCATCAATGATGTCATAATCAGTCATCAGTTATGTCATAATCAGCAACTATGATGTCATAATTTGATTGTTTACTGTTTACAGTGATTGGATAACCGAAGGAAGACCATGAGGTCTAAAATATGATTTGTCATTTTTGCCTTCAAAGACACATCTTTATATATATAAACTTTTGAAATAAAGACCTGATTTTTGAGTCATAGCATCAAAATTGTAAAAGGGATGTATATAAATGTAGCATCTGCATAATTAATGCAGGCAGCTCTTGTGAAATAATCTTTTAAGGATATGCCTTTTGAAAACTTAGACAAGCCGGTAGGCTGATTGGTGATCCGCTTCGCTCAAAATACAAACAACATGTTTTCGGCTGTTGCCATGGTAGGACATTAACATGAAGCTAACGTCGGTTTACAACTAAAACCGGGGCCCCATATACATTCAGTCTTCCGAAGTCACTTCACTTTATTACTACCGGGTAGTGCATAACTTTTTATTTCTGACTGTTTTGCGATTGTATTTCTAGATTCTTTGATTGAATCATAGACAGTATAGTAGGAAATACAAGCAACTCCAGTGATTCTACTGTAACAGAATGGGCTGGAAAAAAGTTAAGCTGATTTACGCTAACTGTTAGCATAAACAAAATTTTTATTTTTATTTCTCGTAAAATGCGTGTTTTTTAGGTGGCTAGGTTGACGAGTCGCCTAAGGTATTCTAGTCTTTGCGAATATATTACAAAATGGTGGTTATTGATCATGAGTTTGCATATGTAGATGATTTGCTCGATGTTCGATGATGGTCGAAATGACAGTGAAGAAGATCCAAACACAGTAGACACAGCCATTCATGCTAACAACCCTGTTTGGGATTCAGAGCTTGAGCAGCAACCCGGAAAGTAGTAGAGATTTGCGTTTTCTTGATCATCACGTAAAAAAAAACTTTGAAACAATTTGAAATGCTAACAAAAAAACGAATATAGTGTCAGTGAAAATAACATAATAAAGAGAATCGTGCCTTTTTTTAACAGTATTTGAGTTATTTTGTTGAAAACACAGGTACAAACTTAGACACTCGTTTCGGTTTAAGGACTGAATGTGTAGCCAAGATGGCTACTGACATGAAAACAGACGGATTGAAAGTACATTTGAAAAAAATTGCAAGGCAGAGAACAATAAACACCAACATAGTCGGTGTAAAATAATATAATAAGAAGATTTATGCATCATGAAAACAAAAATATTCAAATATTTTATCAAAAATGGGGTACAAACTGTAAGTAACATTTTGCTACCACCACATTTACCGGTAGTTGACATGTACGAAACATCACTGTTGTCTGAAACTAACTTTCAATTTTATTAAACAGGAACATATATATTAAAATTAATATTTACTAGAGGACCACGGTCACAAGAACAACTGATAACTATTGTGTGTTTGAAAGATGCGTATTCCGGGAAGAAAAAAAATCGTTTATGGAGAGATACTTGTAGTTCGATACGAAAGTACTGACATAGCATCGAAGTAAATATGACATCATTGTTTACTTGCTCATTGTAATATTCCAGCCCAGCTTGCTTTGGCATCTGGCGTTTGACTTTGATGTTTGCTGCAGTTGCATGTCTTTCTTACTACCGCGGTATACTGTCTGTGATTGAATGCAGCATTTACATCTCAATCAAAGTTGCATTGGGACTTACATTAAATCGACCCAGCCAAAAAAATCACAGAGGAGTTAAAAAGCTGTTCCTGGTGAAAAATTATCCCAACTTTGAGATCAAATTTCTTGGTAATGAAAAAGAGATATAAAAAAAACAAATAGTAACTTTGTTCCCACACTCAAGCTGAGTAGAATGAGCTATGTCTGAGATTTGTATTCCTAGATTTGTGGGGGGGGGGGGGGATACATTTGGCACGAAGCTATTCAAAAATCTTTTTCTTTTTTTTTCTGTTGCCATGGCTACAGTGGACCAAGAATTTCCCCCCAGATTTTACCACCTAACTAAAGTGGAGGTGTGACCTGCCTGCCAAGTTTGGGTAAAATAAAAAAAACACATTAATACATGAAGACACTGTAAATCAAACACACGCACACAAAAGTGATTTTAAGGGCAATCCTAGTAGAGTGGATCAACATTATGTCATTATAAGGAAAATTTTACATTTTTGGAAATTCAACAACCAATACAGCCTAAAACATTACTTAAACTGTGTTTCACTCCCAGAATTTCTCTTCCAAAATTTTCTGCACTTCTGAACCCTAATTTTGTAGCCAACAGACAAAATTTGAGTAAATGGGACTATTTTGTGATGAAAATCGGGGGAACTGGTGGTTGAACGGTTAAAATTAGATAATAGCTGTCTGTTTTTATAAGAAAATTTCTCTACAGGATGCTTGAATGTATTTTGATAGCCATTATAGTTGCTATCTGTCCAGGGACTTCCTGTTCACTGCTAAAAAAAAATCTAGCAACAGTCCCTCACAAAATTTGATTTTTTAGAAACAAAACTCAGCATGGCCAAAAACACCCAGACTTTGTTCAGTTAAACAAATTAAACGAACGAATAAAAATTGAGAAGAAATCTACATTATAGGTCAAGAAAATAGTCTTATTAGGTAGGCCTCATGAGATCTTATCAGGAAATTAAGAATAAGGAATCAATTTAAGATCACATTAAACAGACAATGTTATTAATTATACTGTATAGGCATAACTTATTCCCTGAGTTGTAATTTCGCTATTTTCGCGGATAAGTAAAATTTGCTAAATTAAATCCACATGAACATAACTATAGAACTCATTGTTTATCTGCTAAATTCTCTGAATTAAAACGCAGTGAATACGCTCAAAACATCAAAAGTGAAATTAAATGTCAGTGAAAATAAATGATTTTACATTAAGTGGTATGGCCTTGGAAGGTGTCCCCAGGTATTGCAGTGACATCATCTATCTGTGGCATTATATGTTATAATGCCATTTTCATATATCATATCATATATTTTTGAGATATTTAGAATATATGCATTAATTATTCACAGGGTTTTAATTTTGTTATTTTTGTTGATATGTAAAATCTGCTAAATTGAATCCACATGAAGATGTAAAATAACAATGGAACTCCCTGGCAAATTGATGAACTTAAACCCCAGTGAGCATGATCAAAGTACCAAAGTAGTGCCAGTGAAAACAAATGGTTTTACAGTATTTGCTTACTGTATTTGCGTTATTAGCGTATCTTCAATAGAAGCATATATAAAAGAACAAAGACATTTATTGTATTCTGAAATCATTCAGATATGGCTTTTTATAACAATAGACAAATTGTTGTTATTTATGTAAGCAGAGAAAATACAGTATTGTAGTTTGGATCATTAAAATGCGACCTATTTCAACAATAGACGTACCTCTGTCTATTACATAGGTTTATACAATGTATACTACTAATAGAGTAAATACAGTGTATGGATTTGTTATAGTTATGATAACATAAAAGCTAGTGAATAAAATGTACTTAATACTATTTATTTTTCACACCATTCCTAGATGTAATAGCTGAGATAAATAGCCGAGAATTTGATAAGAAAGAGAAAAGTGAGCAAGAACCCATTGTGAATGGAGACATAGAGAAAGATGATAAGGAGGAGAAAGTTGAAAAGGAGGACAAAGAAGAAGAAGCACGTGTCGGTAGATTTGCTGATGTCTTCAGTGATACTGATAGTGAAGATGAAGAAGACGATGATAGGTGAGATTTGTTATCAACTAATTTTACTTGAAATCTATTTAGTATTTTGAATGGAGATTCATTTGAAAATAAAATCCTGGAGACTTGTGTTTTTGACTATCCTAAGCGAAGACATTGTCTTTTGAGTTTTTGGTTGAAATCAATTAATTACCTGAATATGACCTACTTGTGCATAATCGTAATTATGAGCAAAATATTTTGAATAAACAAGATATGGTAATATATGATGATGATGATCGCATTGTACATTTCAACACATACTGATATTTTCAATTCAAGCTCCTTTCTCAGCTAACAGGTGTTTTTTCTAAGTTACAAAAATATTGCCTTGTAGATATTTAATTCACTGATACCTCTGACTCTGCCAGGGTGATCACATGACCTAGGCCTACATGTTAATACCTAGGTTGCAATATAGTTTTCAACAGAAAAAATTATAAACTATGTATGTATGTATGTATGTATGTATGTATTTATGATAATGCAGATGTATGTCAAGGCTGGTCAGGAATTATTTTATAGTCTCTCCTGTAGAACATCAATCAATTTCTGGTGTTCCCAGGTGCATGTCTGTGTTACATATGTCATCATCCATTAATCCTTCATTACATTCTCTAATTTTGTAGTGAAAGTGAGGAAGAAGATTACTCTGAAGGCATTGGGGATTTTTTAAAAGTTGTGAGAAAAAGAAGGAAAAACAGAAACTCCAGGAAAACACATGATCAAGATATTCAGCCAGAGTTTGTGGGAATTGAAAATAGACTGGTTGGGTGTGCAACATGGGAAAAGTCACATGTGTGAGTACCAAGCACAATTTTGAATTCTCATGTTATTCAGGAAATCCACTATGCAGTTTTCAGGTGAAAAACAAATCAGTTTTGTTTATAAAGACACTTGAAAATTGTTGCTGTATTATTATCTACGTTTTGTGAAGGTTATGTTTTTCAGAACCTATGGTATTAGGCTAAAAAGAATGTACTAGTATATACAGGGCCCTTTCGCTATGTCATGCCTCAGTAAGTCGTGATTTCGGCTAAGTCACAGGTAGTTGGATGACTCCCAAACAATTTTCACTGGGAGAAATAATGTAATTATTCACATCATCTCATATTAACATGAATACCTTTAATTTCAGGAGACCCGGCGAAAAAATAATCCAGATTGATTTATTAGTTGTGAGGAAAAGATACAGAAAGTGGGGAATTGGCAAATATTTACTGCAGGTATGGCCATATATAGCAATATTCTTTTATATATGCACATGATTAGCATAATTGCATATAATTAGCATAATTTTGCATGTTATTAGCATCTATAATGAAATTTACTATAAAAAATTCACTTTTGTTCTGATTTTATTTAAAATTTCTCAAACAAGTCTCAAACAAGTTTAAGGATCATGGTTTTTGTGTTAAAAAATCAAAATCAAAATCATATATCTGTTACTTGTTACTTGTTACTTTTGACTTTAATAGCATCGATAAAGAGCCATTGTTCGAAATGTCTAGTTATTTTGAATAGAGTTATCAACTTTTCATCCCTGATTTTGCCACTTTAAAATACTTTCATATAAAACTGCAATTTTGCATTACTTTCAGAGCATGAAAGACACATCACTGGTCGGTTTATACGATTCAATAGTAGTTTACGCGGACCATTCTGCGATGGATTTCTTTGCAAACTATGGTTTCAGTGATGATTATGTCCTTAATAGTAAATATAAAGAAATTGCTGATAACTGGACAAATAGTACTTTAATGTGTTACATTCCACCATTTACAAGTAAGTACATTGGAGTGGAATTAGTACATGACAGTTTCAATACTTGCGTTATTAGTAATGTGTACACTTCTATAAATGACATAGGTGTATCTGTGCTTGAATTACCCAGCATACAATAATTTGATTTCTCTGAACTTCCATCTCTGGTTGCAGAAGGCTGATAACCATGTCACACAAATAACTGCTGCCATAATACAAATGATATTGTTGCCATGGTGCAAGTAACTGTTGTTGCCATGGTGCAAGTCAATGGGGTTTTCCATGATGTGTGATGTTTTCTTCTGATTGTCTTCAGCTACTTTTCAGTCCATTGCCAGTTTGTTCTCTCTCATGCAGCATGAATAAATATGACCTTATTAAATGTGCATGTAATTCTAAGTATCCAGTCATTGATGCAGTTATATTCCAAATTAATATGAAAAATACTATCCTGATTGCTTTAATACTTGGTATGTAGGTGTACTTTGAGTAGACCATGTCAATTCCATGATATTTTCAATTCTCTAATTTTAGTGAATATCTGTTTTTCATGTACTATTAAACCAGATATTTTAATGTTTCTACACCTAAAATAATCTGAATGTATTACATGTGTCCTTCTAATAGAGATGTACAAATGCTATGTATCTTTATCTTTGCTCATCAAGAAATGTACATCTATTTCTAGCCGTCCAAAATTCACTCTATCACATTCCCTCTATCACGTGACCCTATGTATGAAAACCTCTCTAAGAGATAAGTATGAACACTGCCCTCTATCAGCATAGCTATGGTAACACCCTTTCACTATAGATAACAAAGTAAAATGATGATTTATTCAAATCCTGATGATCAAGCAGTTCTCTGCAGTTATTTAAAACATCTATATAGTTTCTATGTGAACTATGCTTTGTAGCTGCTCAATTTGAAATCACGCCAATTAAAGTGTATTTCAGGGTGATTTGACATGCAATAAATTCTTAAACTTTGTAACTCATAGCATCTATGTACAGAAGTAAAGTTTTATCATCATCAAATAGTGAGCAATGTTATTCACACTTATCTGGGTCCAACTTTTTCTCTAATTTCTGTTTACTCTGCTTACAGCCCAGACAGTGCTTGGTGAAACAGACCATGAATTCGATCTGAAACTGTTGGATCTTGAAATGCAGAAATGGTCAGAAAGAAGCAAAGAGGCGTACCAGGCACAGTATGCATGCATGGCTAGAATGAAGAATGAAGTCATCGCTCTCAAAGCATTGGTAAATATTTAATTTAAACCAATTTACATACTGTGAAAATAAATTTTTTAGCAGTGACCATTTTAAAAGGGGATGGTGTGCATTTTTTTGTTTATCACTGTGAACATGTTGCTTCAATTTTTTTGACTTTTGAGAGTCAGTAAAAATCATGAAATTTTGTAAAAAACCTAAAGGTCCTAAAAAGTTGGAGCCACAGCGACTATCAGCAAATTTTACCACTATGAATACCATTAAATTTGTCTATTTTTTAAATTCATGTAAAACTCAATGGTAATTCATTTCTAGCTATGCATGTTCATTTGCACTATTAGGATAATATATAACCTGACATTAACCTTTTTATTCTCATTTCATATCACAAAGCTCATTTTTAAATAAATGTGTAATATAAAAATACAAAATTTTTTACACAAAACCTCAGTTGATAATATTTCAGCCAGAATTGATTTTTGCTTAAAAGACATTTTTCATGCTCAGTATGGAATTTATTTGCACTGATTTTTGACAAGTTGAATGCAAAGTATAAAAAAAAAGGTATATTCACTGGAATCTAGTTTCCTTGAATCATCAGCAGCAAAATAGCGAAAATAAAGTATTTTACCTTACAGTAAATGAAAATCATTCTCCCTAGTTTAGTTCTGCTGTCTCTATCCCAGAATTTATTGCCAATGTTTATTTTTTGTTTGTCCTTCATGATTTGGGAAAAATGCTATTGACTGACAAAATCTGTTACGGTAATTGTGTTTAATTTTAGGCCGCTTCACAACAAGACGTCATATCATACCTACAGAGTGAAGTCACAAATTTACAGAGATCCAAATTCAAAATGGGTGAGTTCAAATCATGTCATGTGTGTGAATACTAAGTTAATAACATTACTTACTGATGCCAATTTTTCTCATTCATTTTGGCTATCCATGGAAGCTTTCAACAGATGATGTATTGACAGCTAGAAAGTGCTGCAGAACTTGCATATTTTTCTCCATTCTTTATAATCTATGTAAAAATAAGAAACAACAACTGCCACAAGATTTTTTGATTTTCCCTGAATCATGGAATTCCTGAATATTTGTCTTTCACGGCTTAAAGTTTAGAGTATTGTAATATTGTCAAGTCTTTTCCTATGCTTGTAATAAATTAATTTTGTTCCAAAATAATATACTATAAAATAATTGCTCCGTTAGTATCACATGTGCTTATGTAAATTTCAGATGTGTTTCTATCAAAATGACTAATATTTTCATGATTCAGTATAAAACAAATGCAATTTTTGGTTTATACACATTTCTGTTGCAGATTGGCTTTTAATAGAACAAATATGGTATGGAAAATGAAATAAAAGAAGTAACAAAAATTATTACAAAGAAATTGTTATTTTTGTAATATTCAGTATATATATTTCTTTCTCTGTATTTTTTTTTTCTCAGAAAAAGAATTTCTACAATACCGGTTGTTGACATTAAAGACAGGACTCTCAAGCTCGTTAAGTGGGGTTCTTGCTGATGCATATGGTAAAGAATCATTTCAAGTACACCCCCAACCCCTTCTAACCCCTCCCAAACCCCTCTCCTATAAAAGCTATGATACCCCCGGTAATATTTGGTAGTAATAAATCACTGTGTAAAGGATTTATTCGAGATTGATACTTATATCAATTTCACAATCTTGTTGTTTTTGCTATGAAATTTTGTTTTTATTTTAATGCACTTTTATTGCACTCATTGGAGTATGACTTGTAGCATAGCAGTTGGCGGATCAGCCTCATGATTGGTTGATCTAAATTCAAGGCCATCACGCAACGTTTTGTTTCCGTGCACAGTGACTGGTTCACAGCCAAAAGATAAAATAATGACATCGTTCAATGTTGTTGTTATTAAATATACATGTACGTATATGTGTAACACTGTCTCAGCATATTACAAGTAGTGTTCATCTGTGAGTGACACAGTGCAATAACTTATATGTATTAATCACTATATTTACTGTTAGAACAGCTGGAGAGACAACAGTGACATTCAATGTCAAGGAACTGTCAAATGGCACAAAATTATGTGAAAACAAAATTATTATGAATGTTTTCTCTTAATCAAACTTGTTGCAAAACAATGACAATAACCGATGACAGACAAATTTAATATTTTTATAATTCCAGCAGACGATGAGAGTGGCGAAGGTTTAATTAGTGATCTTGAGAAACAAGTTGATGTCTTGAAAATAGCCAAGAAACACAGCGATGACAATCACATACTTGCGAATGAGAGTCACATTGGTAAGTACTCTATAGAATAAATAACCACTGAGTAGTGACAATCATGTACTCACCATTAATTGTATACTGGATTATAAACACATGACTTTAATACTTTAACCACAGACACAGCTCTGTTATGTAAGCACCTACTCTACTAATAAAGCATGTTTGGTATGCAAGACATTTAAATAAAGGCTTATTCAATAATAGACACCCCAAAAATATAAAAATATGTTCAATTTCAGTGACCCAAAATATACAAAATTAAATCAATTTAAGCATCCACAACTATGAGTTAAAACAGGAACTTTTTTTGAATGGAATTAAGTAAATAAGACCAAATACACAGAATGGTAAATATGAATTAAAGTTTTCTGGGTATGGGCACAAAATCGCCTAGCTACATGGCACGTCACAGTCTGCTTGTAAAAAACTTAGTTATTAGGCATCCTTTTTTGTGATGCGCCGTGGCCAAGGGAAAGATGCACCATGATCTGTAGCTGGGCAAATTGATGCCCTACACAAGCATTGGTTTGAGCCATGCATGCAGACACAGTACATGTTTACTTTGATTTCAATAATATTTACCATGTCATGTATTCAGTTGTATTTGTGTTTGTTAACCGTATTACAGGAACTTATCATTGTACTTTCTTTATTTGGAACAGTGTCCTCTATCGGTGATAATGCACAACAGTTATCAGTTTACCAAAATGACGATGGTGATAATGACACGGATGAGGATGAGGAAGAGGAAGATGACGAGGAGGAGGAGGATGAAGATGAGGAGGAGGATGAAGAGGAGGAGGAGAAGGAAGAAGAAGAGGAGGAAGATGGTGATGATGAAGATGTTAATGATGATGTGTTGTATTCTCCCAATGATTGGGAAGTCATGGAAGAATTCAAAATCGGCATGACAACAGATGAGAGAGTGGAGCAGGATTGTGAAATTACTTTGTTAACAAAGGTAAGAATTTAAAATGAGGTTTTATGTTATATCAAAAACAAAATTGGTTTTCTTTCTTGTCAATGTGCTTCTTGTTGAATATTGTGACATTGCTTTGTATTTTGGCATTCTCTTTTAATATTTTAATTAGACTAAATCTGTTTCGATGTCTCTTAACTGTTGGAAACGTACATGCCCTAGGCATGGATTGTTGATATTTATTGTCTAAAAAAAGCTCTAGTTGTTAACATTTTATTTATATTTTTTCAATTTTGTTCACAGGCCAATTTAACACTGAGTGCAAAGTCAATATTTAAGAGTAGAATAAACAGTTTAGTAGATCCAAGCATGTGTACAAGACTTTACTACTGTGGAAGCTTAGAAAGACCATATAGGACACAATTCAATCTCAAAAATGGATTCTCAGAGCAAGGTAAGTTTCATGTCCTTTCAAAGATTGTGCACAGTGGGCATTATTAATGAGTGTTCCCCAATAATGCATATTCTAAACTTCTAGAAATCCTGCATTATTCGTGAAATCAAACTTGAAAATCAGACAAACAAAGTTCATAGCATTGTTACAGTAGTGATGTTAATACAAAAAAAGAATTTTTTGGCTATACACATGTGATGCATTTTTCAATTTTGATGCATCCCAATGCCATGTTCCCCTCTGAAAGATCGGAATTTTGACATTGAACTATATAAAAAAAAAAAGAAATTCAAAATCATACAATTTTTGCGGCAGATGTTTAGTCCACATTATTCATGCACAATGTGTCATCTCGTAGAAGTTTGGAAATATTCCCTTATTCATAAGTAGTCACTGATGTTAGAAACAGTTTAACTTGCCAAAAATTAAGTCAAAATATCATAAATTATTGCTATTATAGGATGTATGGGGGTTCCATACATAAGGTGTGCACAGAAACCATATCCAGCCTGAATTACACATTGTGATTATAGTGACTATAATAAATAAATATAATTGTTATATCTCATCAGATTTTTCTCATGGTAAATATGGAGTTGGTTTATACTTCTCTCAGTATCCGTATAAAGCTGCTCAGTTCTCTGAAGTAAGTACAGTAAGTACCTGGGAAGTATTGGATTGAAGCGCCCTCTCTAGTGTCTGACTGTTCCATTAACACTCGTATAAGTATATACTGTTTGAAATGTCAACATGTATTGTTACAAATAAATGTGTGAAAAACTGAATAAATTGACCAATTGAAAACTTGATTTCTAGTTGGCTTATCTCACCCCGGTATCACATTGTTTGATTTTAGACTATGTGGTATATACCCCCCCCCCCCCCATTAACCCTAATTTGAAATGAAACTTCAATACTTATAGTATAAAAACAATAAAAGAACATTGATGTGTGGAACAAATAAAATTTGTTTAGTTCTTAAACTGCTTTGGGGAAGACAATGTTCTTTTGTCTTATTCTGCTGACAAGGATTTATAAATAGTGAATGAAGTTCAAAAATATCACTTTTATTACAGCTTGGAAAAATATTAGTTGCCGAGGTTGGTCTTGGTAAAACAGAAACTGTTATCAACAAGGAAGTGACTCGATGTAAACCTCCGGAAGGATACGACTCAATACTGGTGAGTTTTATAGCGCCTTCACACACATTTATGTAGAAACATTTCAAAGGCTGGTGGTCATCATGCAACTTGGGTCAAAGTTCATGTAAAGAAACATGTTTTTTTACACATTGTAAAAAGTCATGTGGGACGCTTAATGAACATTAGTAGTTCATATGGTGTTGATTCATATTTTCAAAATGTCTGTTGTATCTGAATATGTTTTAATGAATACCATGCATGAATTACTGTAAAATCTGTATTAGAGGCTGCATTCCCAATAGAAGCCATACCTATTCTTTTTGAAATAATGAGAACCAAAAATTGACCATTTCTCATATGTGTAAATGCTCAAATAGAAGTCGCATTCTCTCTGTTGCATTGTATCATTTTTAGTCCCCGTTCGGATGCAGTCCGAAAACGGAGACTTATGTTTTGACCTCCGTGTGTCCGTACGTGCATGCGTCTGTGCGTGCGTCCGGACCTGTATCTTAGAAATGCCTGGACCAATCACAATCAAACTTCACACATACATCATACATGATATTATACATATGCACGTGATTTTGTTTCACGATCTGATTCAAGATGGCCGAATGGTGGCCATTTTTGTGCTGAAAATCATCAAAATAAACCATTTCTCGGCTGTTTACAGATGGATTTTGTTCACACTTGGTATATACATTAGACATTATGGGACCTTGATGCAAATAATTTTGTTTTTCAGATAAGATTCAAAATGGCCGACTGGCGGCCATTTTGTATTCATGAATGTGGTTCTCGTGCCATATCTCTGCCTTGCTTTCACTGATTATGTTCAAATTTTAAATATTCATTATACATCATGTCATAGATAGACAGATATATTGGTTTGACGATCCTATTCAAAATGGCCAAATGGTAGCCTTTTTTGTGCTTAAACAATCATCAAATATCAAGCATTTCTGGCATTTATGGATGGATTTCGTTCAAACTTGGTACATATATTAGACATTACAGGTTCCTGATGCACATCATTTATTTTTCAGATCGGATTCAAAATGGCTGTCTGGTGGCCATTTTGTTTTAATGAATGGGCTTCTAGACTCATATCTCCGACTTGTTTTCACTGATAATATTTTCAAATTTTTAATATTCATTATACATTATGTTAAGATAAACAGATATATTGGTTTGACTTATTATATTTAAATTTTATATATTCGTTATACATCATGTTATATATATACATGTATTCAAAATGGCTGATTTTGAATGCTGTTCCAGAGCAATATCTCTCAATATGGACAAGTACTTTTTTGACGATCTAATACAAATGTAAATCATTTTAATTTAAAAAAATAATATTCCTGATATGGTTATATTCCAGCTATATTACTATAAACAAAACTATATATCTTAAATTTCATAACTAACAGGGACTGTGCCATGCATGGCTTGTTATAGAAGCCATGATTTCTAATACAGAATTTAGAGTAGTTGGAATCTCGATTTAGTGACCATGTTAGTCTGACAGACAAGGGGACCAACTTGGAATTTGAAGTCTATACAAATTGTTTTGATAGATTTTGATCTCTTAGAACATACATTTGATAAACCTGCATGATGTCACCCTCAGACAATTTTTCTAATTTGCATGAATCTAAAATGGCCACCATAGTACCATAAAACCATCTCCACCTCTAAATTAAAATTTGTCAGTGATTGAAAAAAACACATTCTTGCTCAAAGATACTGGAATGTCCATTAACCAGTCATGTGATCATTTGAACATGCCTTATTTGCATAAATACACTTTATTTACACAAAAGTCACCATATTAGTGATTTCTCACAAAAAGTTAAAATTTAGAATGATTTAGTATTTATATGGATCCAAAATGGCGACAATATTTGCATATTTGGAATTATAAATTGGCCTCCCTGTTGCATACAGTGAAATCAGCTGAACAGCTATTATTACACACACAAGGTTGTTGAATAAAGTATAATTTATACCACTCTGCTATTCATACATACTTTTGTAAGATATATCTTGGGACAACATACATGTATGGAAATTGAACTTGTAAAAAACTAGGGCAAATAGCCTAATGAATGCCGCCTTCCCCCAAGCACACTCGCCTATTATACAAGAAAAGAATAACCTTCTTCATTTTTCCACCTATTACATCTTGATCATTGTTTATTCTAGACTCCTGGGCGTTTATCACGTGGTATAGGCGATCTATCAAGTGGACCATGCCAGGAGTATGTGGTGTTTCATGCCTCGCAAGCATTGCCGCTTTACCTCATAGAGTACAAAATGGTGTGATGTCAAGAATGTGGCAGTACATGAAACATCACAAACCAAACAATGAGCTTGGTACAAAATAATGATTGACACAAAAATATGAATATGTTTCATATCTCATTAACAATGGCGTACCAATGACCTTATCTGATGGACAATCAGTTAGAGAAGAGGCTTCTATCTTTAAACTAAATTAGTACTATGTTCTATTTTTCAGTCTTTTTTTTAATTAAAGCGGCTTTTATAATATAAGTGCACTGAAGAGTACATTACGCTATCCTTGGTCTACAAGACCATCCATGGCTTTTATTTTTTCTAGTGGTTTTGGAGAGTCCCTGGGAGACCTCGGCAAGAACATTCAGCCGAGTACTACACCAAGTTTGTGTGAATATTAAACCTTGCGTGAACAGGGTAAAGAAACGTGTTACATCACACAATGTTGAAAAACTTAATGTTTTAACTGCGGTTGACAATTTATATCAGTGACTTCCTTGCTAAAGACTTGAAGGATCACAACAATTTTTCATAAAATGTGTTATTTTGCTTTGTTGATTGATTTTCTTGTTCTAACAAGTTCAAGAACGGTGGCCATGATGCTTTTCTTTCTGAACAAAACCATTCCATATTGAGAAAGGAAATATTATAAAAGTGACTAGTAATGGATCTATAATAATAACTTTTATAGGATGAGTGGTGTTTTGTTTAAGAAGGATTAGTAATGAATAAAATCATAACTTAGTTTACAGTCAATTGGGTTTAAATCTCAAATTTACCTCAAATTTGTATACGAGATAGGAATAAATTGTTCAAAGTTCTTCACGCCAGATTTCGGTAATTTTTAGATCAACTAATATTCTGAGCTAATACATACTTAGGTAGAAACAAACCTTATGTAATAATTCACGTTTATAGAGAATATGATCTATGTGTATTAATACTGACACCATAACATGTGGTAGTGTATTTGATTTAAATTTAACGCTTTGAATGCCAGTCAACTTCTCACAATATAAACATGCATATTTTTGCATTTGATCAATACTTGCAGCTAATGAAATATTTGGACCAAAATTAATAAAGAAATTATCGATGTAGAAAAATAAAACTGTGCAAAAAGGTGCACCCATATTTTGGTGGGTAAAGTAATAGAGTTCAAAGGTTTATAATTGTAACATTTGCATATTTCAGTGAACAATGTGTATGGATGGTTATCAACTGAACTAGGGAGATGTACACAATGCCCAATATTACAATACATGCTTTTCTGTTTTGTTATCACGCTGCCTGCACAGTAGCATAGTCACAAACATGTAATAGCTCTTGTGGTATACTGGTAGTTTCAATATTTGAGAATATATTTCCCTATTTCCAAGTTTTTCTCCATAAATTAAGGGATAGATCAAGCTAATTCTATATATCTTATTTGTGGTAATGTGTATGGCTTGTTTTCAAGTAAGATAAATGTTTTCTTTGTTATCCCTGGTGTTCCTTATTTGAGTGATACCATATACTCTGTACACAATCAAATGTGGAGTTGTTGTGTGGGAAGCAAAAGCACTAGGACTAAACTAACAAAGACTTCTTTATGCGATAGCTAGAGCACAAACTATGACAAAATCTACCGTCCATTAATAGTGCCATTAATGCTTTAGTCACAGTGTGCCTAAGGAAGTGTTTTCAGAAATATTATTTACAATCTTATATCTCCAATAAACATGTGACGTCCAATATACCGGTAAATGCACACATTAAAGCCACTGTGCTGGTCTGCGTTCCAAAAAGTACAAGTATATTTTTTAAAGAGAAATCTTGATATGACAATATACATATTTACATGCATGCATGCATTTCAAATTAGGAGGTGGGAATTCATTTGTTCCCCTCTGTGAAGTGGTAATAGACTTCCACACAGTTCAGTGTATTAAAGACAAACCATTCTGAAAATGACATTCATTTATTAACAATTGTCAAGTATGTACATTTTTTTTAGATTGTAAAGTATTTTAGTAAAATATTGGTGTTATTATGTACTTACAATAATAAAGACAAAATTAACAGTTTGTATCTGTTGTGTATGTTTTTTCTGGAGATGGACATCATCACATGGTTGGTATCGTGGGGAGAACAAATTATTTTCTTACCAAGGTACATTTGCTAAGTTTCTCCTATTTATGCACCTTACTCCCTGGTTTGATATAAAAACATTATTACATGGGTTAGCATGTTGAGAGTAATTCATTTTTAAATCGTTGCACAGGAATTCTTTATAAAATAATACTGTTACTACATTTTCATGATTTGTATTCTGCTAGAAATTATCGTTTTCCCCACAAATTAATCTGATAAACATCACCAAGACCTTTAAGATGTCTCAGTAAAAAGTCCAGGGAACCAATACAGTTGAGGTCTGGTCTGCATATCAACCCATGCAAGCCCTTCTTTTACCATGTAGTCAACGGCTAACTTGGCTCTCTCTTCTTCCCATTCCAATTTTTGCTTCAATTGTGGTATAGAAGTGTTTCCCGTGTCCTTGGCAGCTTGCAGTACACTTGTATGATCCATGTTTAGTTCTGCTGGGACAGACTGCACTAGATAATTATTTCCATCCCCAACTTTCAACAGTGTAAAACCATTGCCTAGAATTTTTAGTTTCTTTATAGCTCGCATCAAGTCGTCAGCGCTCACGTCTTGGGCTTGCTTCGACTTTCCTCTCGTTGTTCTCACTTTCAAAAGCAGCTCATTTAAATACATCAGTCCCCCATTTCTGTGTTGTGTCGCCAGGCATACCTCGATGATTTGGACCCCAAGTTCGTAGTAGAATTCACCCACACCGAGCATTTCAGACCAAAAACCTTTCCCCGACGCCAAAGGGTCGACGCCAATCGTGGCACACATTTCCTGAAACTGCGTTCGAAACTCTGGGCTTTTGCGAATATCATTCTTGTGTTTCGTAGCGAAGTCCTCCAGGTAGGTACGGAAAGCTTCGAGTTGCTTTGACATTTGAGCCAATTGGTCTTCCGCAATCGACGTTCCCTTGTCTTTGAATTTCGCTTCCGCTAATCGTTTCTTATTAATGGCTCCAACCCCACCACCTCGGCGACGCATTTTTACAACTACTCGGACAACAAATACTGCGACAAAACAAGCTACTAAATCCCGCAATCTTTTTTCCTCTAGTCAATTTCAGTCATAATTATTTGGTATTTGCAGTCTGTGAGTTCGAAATAATTGAATATGACAATTTTAAAAATATTTCTTTTAGATTTCATTGGTAAAATGAAATAGATTAACAAATAAATGTATACACTCATATTTCACAAAGATTTTAGGAAATGACATTTTAAGAGGTTGTTAATATCGATTGTCGTTTTAAGGACGTACAAATTTGACAATTGTTTACGCCCTCAACGGCGAATGCAGGTATGTTTCGTGACGTCGAGGAGAAGAAACCCTGAAAGTGTTGACACCTGTTTGACGAAATTCGGGATTTACCTTCAAGTTTTGTACCCAGGGCCCAAATATGGGTTCTGGTGCCAGTAAAACCCAGAATGTCGGCTTCCCCATGAGTCCGAGAGCGGAATTTGCCGAGAAACACGCACCGAAAGGAGAACAGGTCAGTAGTATACGATGGTCTCTGATCGAATTGATGACAAGGATTGATGTGTTGTTATTGACACGAGGATGACGGTCAGGTGTTAGTGACAACATCTATATAATAATACACCGATCTGTCTTGTTGTTGTTTAATCGAAAACTAAACCCGATATATTTATTTATCTCATTCATCACATACGCAGAGATTTAATGCTATCATTTATTATAATACAAGACAACAAACTAAGACGAGTGATTTGTTTACCTATAATCACTCACCCAATTTGAGTCAGGCAATAGCTGATTATTGCTCAGATCATTTTAAGGAAATTTTAAATGACATATCTGCCAAAATCTGTTACGTTACTATGTTCTGGAGAGCTATTTCTAGCTCACCAGATATTTTCAAAATGCAATCACCAAGTCTGAAAACGAGTAGAAACATTTTCCCTGACCAAAATTCCCTCAATCATGTCTCTGTGTGAGAACTAGAGGCTAGTCACAATGGGCTAATATTATATATTTCAACATTTACTGTTACTTACGTGATCAGGCTTTGATGATAGATACACCAGCGCTGATAGATCTAGGGCATGGTACAGTGAGATACAGAAGAGAAGATAATCCATCTATCCAACCAGATAAATTAAGAGCTGGATACTTTTATCACCCACGACTAGATGACTACAGTGAAGGTATAGTAGCAATATCCTCTATCGATTTTCAAAAAAAACATCAGACACCATAGTAACTGTCTGCAGTAGTTACCAGCCACAAAATGTGTAAATAATTGACCATTAACGTGCAGTTTAGTAAAGTGTGATGATGAGTTACTTTCAATGAAGGTTGAGAAAATCTAAAACCATGCAGCAATTTGCTTATTCAAATCATTCAGAATGTAGATATAAATGAATAATTTATTATATGGTAGGCAGATAGTATTTCAGTCTGTCTGTTAATCTCTCTAAATTGAAATAAGTAAATTAGGTCTACATTAAACTGATCAATAAGGTCTGTTTATTTCATCAGAGGCTAGAAAACGAGCCGAGGACAATTTCAAATATCGATACGTCTACAAAGGTCCCAAGAGAGCCAATGATAAAAGACTGTTCTATGTGTATGGTGTTGGTTTGAAGTCAAAAGACCAAGCTAAGATGGTTAAAAAGCCATACTACAGACCCAAGGGGCACGGATACATATGGCCAAGTTCATTCAGAAAATCAAACCATGTATACTGTGAACTCTGTTTTGTTAAACAAGGTAAGGAAAAATATATTACATGAATTCAGGTTGTGTGCTGCAATGTAAATAGGGAGCTCTAAGATCCCTCTACTGTAATGAGATAATTAATATTTGTAATTAGTATTCAAGCTCATATTTCTTCCTATTATCAACCAGTTGTCAGTTTTATTATATTTGTTCTATTAGTAGTGCATGTGCTTACATAAATTACAGAGATTTTTCTGTGATCAAAAAAGGTAATATTTTAATTATTTAGTATACAGCCAATGTGATTTTTAGTTTATATGCACTTCTATTGGATATGTGCTCCCAATAGAGCAAATGTTGTAAATAAAAATGCAAAAATAAGATGAATTTTAATTTAAACTGTAAATTTTATTTTCAAATTGTAATACTTATCTTGTATATAGACAAGTCTTGAAATACAAATAATTCATATGTCTTATATACTATCAACAGCACATGGGGTTTTGGACCTCTGGATGTTGTTTTGTTAACATTTAATTAGAAAATTTCAGTGTGGAGTTGCAATATCTAATTTAATAGCATAACATTTGTAATCTCTTGTTTGGGTATTTGTAATTTTCTTTTAGAAGCGGAATTGTCTGACTCGGAAAGTGAAGGAGAAGATTTAACTGATATTGAAGAGTCTGGAACCAAGACTGTTGATAATATGAGGTTAGTTTTTTGAAAATCTCTTTCACACAATTTGACTGTGTTCAATGAAATTTATCGTTTTTACAATAAATGCCCCCGAATGATAACATTTGTGATAATTTTTACCAATGAAATGGTTAAATGAAAAATACTAGTACATGACTTTTCTTATTGTCTATTTATTTGGTAGATTTAGTATGAAAGATGTTGACACTGTGGAGAGTCTAAAAAGAAGAATTTCAGTGCGCCTTCTGATTGCTGTATCCAATATACATATCAGTTATAATGAACTTGAACTCAGGTTAGTTTTGTACATTTCATAATCAGGGCTTAATGAGTTTGCCTTTGTGTCCTTGGATAATTCTTATGTAATTTCTGTATGCTAAGGCCTTTTTTATAAATTCAGGCTTTGAAAATGGATAACCAAATACACTACATGTATATCTGTTCTAATCCACATAATTATTATTGAAAATCTAATATTTAACAACTTAAGTACCGGTACTTTTTTAATGTCAATATGATTTATTATGAACTAAAAATTACATTTTTGTAGCACACACAAGGATATGTGTTTGATGAAAAAAAATAATGATGCTAATGTGCATGCATTTTGAGGGAAATTACACGCACATTACTATTTCATCCCCCCCAAAAAATGTTCCCCTGACCAATATGTGTAGGATGTATGAGATTGTAGATTGGGTGCATGGAGAATTTAACTGCATTCAAGCGACTGAGTTAGTAGGCTTTGTTTGTTCCTGAAAGTCTGTGACATTGTAGGTATGTTTGTCTAAAAGGATAAGACCTTTCAATACTCTCAAAATGAAATGAGTGACAAAGTGAAGCCAGCATATCTACTTTTAATATATCATAATTTTAACTGAAACGGTATCATTTTACTCATAACACATTTATGTTTTATTGCACTGGGAGTGATGTTACACTTTTTTTCAGAGTGGGAAAGCAGCATAAAACATCAATAACAAATAATCTGTTGTCCATGATATTGATAAACCTTTAAACTTTTGAATGTTTTTTATTTGTTTTTCAGCAATGATGAGATAATTGGTAACTATAGAAACAAAGAATTAGGAACTTTTAAGAAATTCACAATAGAACTACAAACTGTATAGAAAAGCTGTCTCATAGACTTCTCACAATTGTGGTTGTCCATATTTCAAAACCTGTGAAGAATTCAATTTATGTGTACGAATTATGTGCTCTCATTATGTATGATAAACAGTTCACTCAGATTGATATAACCAAATTAGGAAAAGTATTCTGTCAATTATAGATGTATTAATCACTTCTTAAATGTAAAATTATCGGATAACAGTTTAGGCTCAGAAAACGTATTATATTTGTTTTGGGTCATTTTGTGTCAGGTGAAAATATGCACATCACTGCTTTTGTGTATGCTTTTGTCTGAATTTGGGGAAAAATGAAAGAATAATTCAAAATATTTTTAAAATAATGTTGATTTTAGAAACAAATTGACCAGAGACTTTTGTTTTCTGTGCCTAACTTCAAACTCTGTACTGTAAAATACTTTATTTTAGCTGGAATTTATTTTCACTGATTTTTGACAAGTTGAATGTAAAATATTGGAAAAAGGTATATTCGCTGTATTTTATTTTCTCATTCCATTATTTTATCATTCCTTCAGCGAAAATAACAAAATTGATTCCAAGCAAAAATAAAGCATTTTAGAGTTTATAATGCAAGTCCCATGATACCCTTTCTAAAATGGTCTATTAAATTGTGTAATATTTAATAATATATTGTTTAAACCTGAAGGTGCTGGACATTATTCAGGCTTCAAAGATTTCATATTTCTACTATTTTTATTGGAAATCATGTAACATAGACAGTTGCATTTTTTCTACAATTCTGCATTAATGATAGACACGCAAACTAGTAAAAAAAAATGTGAATATTTTTAAAGCTCTACAAATTCCAAATATTTTAAATATTCTGTTTACTCTCACTTTGAAAATACTGAAGGTATTTAAAAATAATTAAAGCAGATTTGATTCTGAGCATTCAACTGAATTCTTTGTTTCCGTCCAAGAATTCCAACCTGTCAATGATATTCCAATTGGAGATTAAATTCAAATTTTCTATCTTTAATTTCGTGATTGATGATTTTGGTTTGATTAAAGGTATTCTGAAACTTCTTTCTGATAATTACTTGAATTACCGCGATGTTAAAATGAAATCTGTCAACACTGATTTCGTCAAAAAACCAGTGATTTTTTCCCTAAAGCTGTTGATTCACAATTTCTGAAAGGTAAACTGATGGTTGAGGAAGTATTTAAACCTTTCACGGTCGCCAACAAGTTATGTCAAAGAATAGTTTACTCGATAGACTCAATGGACACGATTGTTTGAAAAAGTAAAACGATGTTCAATGACCAGGTTTCACGACTTGATGACCACATTTTTGCCTTTTCAAAGAATATGAATATGATTTGGTGTTTATGGATTACTTCAGTATTGGAACATGAGGGTTTTAATAAATGTCATCGACACTCGAAAAAACACTCTGGGACGATACTCGTTAAATGCCTAAAAACAGAGAGGTGTGCTTATACTCGGGGAGGGGCTTATGCTCGGGGAAGTACGATGATAATACTGAACAGCCCATTGATCATTCAGTAAAAATGTTGGTGAGATTTCAAAGTTTGTGTTAGAGTGGATTCTGGAATCTAAAACATTATAATTAAAATTTTCTCAATCTTCAATTCCTATCCATGCAAGTGTGTGTATATAATGTATATTTAGTATGACAAGACAATATTTTTAATTGTCAAGCTTTACATGAGTAGTAATCGGTATGAGGCTGTTTCATTTATACTGTATATATTGTTATTAAAGACAGTTTTTCACTACTTATTAACAATGTAGTATACGAGTTTTTTAATTTTTTAATATACTTTGTACAGGTACAAATAAATATGAAAAAAAAAAAAAGTTTTCTATTGTTGTACATTGTGTTGTAAATATAAATATATAGATTCATTTTAAATGATAGGAATTAACCATTCTATATTTGAGTATGCCCAATTCCTCTTCCAAAAAAGATGGTTACATTGATTGTATCCTAGGCCTACCAAGATTTACACTTGGCATGTATTATACACTAGGGAATTTGTCATGGTTGAAAAAAACAGACATGTCACATTCTTCCTGCAGACCCCCCCCCCCCCCATTTACCAGAAGAAAACACTGATGTGCGCATTAGTAACAAATAAGGTATAGTAATCATGTTTGAATATAAAGAAACAGTCAGATGAAATATTCTATATTTTATTAGTTAACTCAAATTGAAGGAGAGGATTTATCTGACATTGTAATATTTAGTCTTTCTGTTGTCTTGAATTGTGAATTGCGCCCTCTGTTTTGGGTTCGGTAGAAAGCACAATTTTTGTGATTCAGAGCATGCACCTGTAATACTAGAGAACCTTGGACTGTGATTGTACCAGCAAAAAAACTAACGACGTATGTCCGCATGTGGTCCGAGATTATTGGTGGTTGGGGAGCAACTTTTGTAAATTGTGCCCTGCTGCAGATACGAACGGTACATGTCACGTGTTCAATTCCGGAATAAGACATTTCAACGAGGCTATAAATATGAACATTGGATAATTTGCTTATACACGTGATTTGGAAGGTGTTATTACATCCGGGCATTATGGGTATTCTTTTGGGATTGACCATTGTGTGTGCACGGTTACTAAAAAAGCGTGGTGGTGTGTGCGTTTTGGTTTTCAAGTTAGATATGTGTATTGAGTTCTCTCCATGTTTCTTCTTTCTATTGTTTTTTCCACTGTGATTCCAGGTAATTAACAGAAAGCTGCCAATTTGTTGGAAAAAAATAGCAAATAAATAATTAAAACAAACCATAGACCCTCTATGAACAAACCAACACCAATACAGCATACGTTTCACTTCAGCAATGGAATTTTCACTGTGTATTGAATATGTAACTCAATGTCTGCTCCGTGGATTTGTGTTGTAGTTGCATTTATGGATAGAGAAGTCGTATATACCATAAGCCAACAAACACTTTGTAAATCCGGTGTAAATCCATGTACAATGTATATACTTAGATGTACGGATGCACGGTTCTTCCACACTACCTCTCTCTGATAGAGGGACTGTGGTTCTTCCAATGGCTAACGTAATCCATACTATCTCGGTAAATAAACTACAGTCACTCATCCCTACGTAACAATAGTGGGTGTAACTAACTAGAACAAAGACATTGCTCATCATCTATAATTGAGTAAATAGCACCGTCCAATTACAACTAAGCGACGCTTTGATTAGGACACCCGTAGTCTGCTGTCGACCACAGTCCCGTCTCAGTCTCGTGAGTCCATATTCACCGTGGATGTTAACAGCGGTATAGAAGGGATAACATTGACTCGTGGTCGTGCATATTATCATTTAAACGATTGATTCCAAGTTTCTACATCGTTCTTGGTCTTCCGATAAAACACAACAACGTTATTGGTATTAAATATAGATGAAAAAAGGCATTCGAAATAATCGCAGGTAAGTGACGCATCTTATAACTTTGTTTTGTACACATAGCATTATGCACTCTTTATTTGAATCACTATGTACCCTATAGGGTCGCTAGTCAATGACGTCACAGACTGCACTTTGTACGAATGATTCAGAGAAACCTCGAGGAAACTAAACTAGGAACCTGGAAGACATACAAAAACTCAACAAAATTGACTTGTTATTATTGGCAACAACTATGCAACATAGTTCTATGCTTATACTTGGTAGCGAATTGTAAACAAATACTTATTGGAGCTAACAAATCTATAGTTTAGGGACCATGGACCTAAGAATAGACCTACAAACCATGGTCTATGGCTTTAGCTCACAGCAGTTTGTATACAAACACAAAAAAGGGGTAACATGATTCTATTGTCTTTCTAAGAACAAGAGTTTATCTTTCTATTTGTTCATGTTAGTGGGAGAAGGCATTGTTGATTCCATCTGTATTTGCTTACTCGGGCCATGGAGCTAAACAACTTTTTTAACTCCATGCTCGGGCAAACCAGTCCTAATTACTCTTGTCAATCGCTATTGCATTTTAGATTCTCAATTGTCAAATATTGACAAAAAATCCCATTGTGATACAATTACACTTTTTTGGGTTTCATCAAAAGATAAGAAAGTTGAATTTTCATTTTTTAAAAACTGTGATTCAATATACTATACACCTAGTTTACCGCGGGTGGTTTCTTTCCCTTAATTACAACTGGCGGATTTTCAGTCTAGGCATTTCGATTTCGGAAGTTTTGCCGGGAAAGTTACACTTGCTATTGCATTTCCTTCTTATGGCTGTCAATTTCAACTTCGAATGATATCTGCTAAAGTTGACGTGCTCCGATTTGTTATTACATTTCCGCGAGCACTGACCTTTTTTATTTTACTTCAAGTACTAGTACTAGTATATGGCGAGAAGAACGTACACCAACCCAGTCAAAACATTAGAATGAAACGCCTTTCTACGTTACCATCCAACAATAAAAAAAAGATACTAGTACACCGAAATAAATATTTGATGATAGCAGCTATGATGGATAGTAGTATACTAAATTCAATTTATTATTATTAGAAACGACTTGAAAATTATGCTATTCCACAACTACGCATGCGTGAACATTACAATTACAATACTGTTATTTTATTTCTTCACAGCACAACACGCACACTAAACATGGAAACAATTGTTAAACCCAGAATCAAAGATTGTCACAGGGACGGACAAAAGACTAGCTACGAGGAAACGATCCTAACATCGGATAGTTGGGAGCAAGAATGGGAAAATCGACTGAGAAAGTTCCTAGTTACAGTAAGTTTTACGTTCACGCTGACCGCAGTGCTATACCTCACGCTACCACTTTTCCTGGAAGAGTTTTTTCTCAAAGTTGTTCTGTATTCCTGCCTTTCCATCGCCATGACATCACTCGGCGTTTTGACCTCGTCGTATTACCATCTTTGCGTGGAGTTGGAGCAGAAAAAAGGGGAATGCGAGCACTTGAAAATTTCAATAGCCATGGAAACGGCGTCAGGCGAGGCAACGATGGAAGAATCTGGCCATTTCCGAGAAATGACTGTCGCTCTAAAAAATGACAAGCACTACCTAAAGATGGAAAACCAAAAATTATGGCGGGAAATTGAGCTTCTACAACTAAAAATCCACTCCCTCGAAACTTGTTTGGAGAGAATGACAGACAGTGCCACCTCGGACGAAGAAGTCGAAGACGACATATTGACTGTTCGTAGCGATCGCTGTATCATCTGCATGGGTCACGAACGAGACATAGTGACAGTGCCTTGCAAACACCTGTGTATGTGTACTCGATGTGCTCGTAAAGTGAAATACTGCCCTCTATGTCGAAAGAAAGTCAAACAATTTGTAAAAATATTCAAGGGATGAATAAAAGTAGTTCATACAAAACAATAAACATACATTTTTTACTAAAACCTCTGGGAACATAATTTAAAAAAATTATTGGCTGCCCAAACTCAAAACATTTACTATGTTTTTTGGAAAAGATTGGTCTGTAAATGACAAACAAATGTTTATAGTTTGGGACGAACACATACTTTTTAATAAAAAATGATGTAATTTCCATTTGGGTGGCACATTACCTTCACCTCACATCACTTCACTAGAGCTAACAAATGATATACAACTGAACAAATATTAATTTTTCTTTCACTTAAGCTTTGAACTGTGTATTTTATAAGACATTTTTGGTGTAATTTCTTTTAATAATTTTTTAAAAACTTTTCCTTCAAAATAAATCCACCATCTCCCCAGAGTTTCTAAGGTCAGTTTGTTATTTTCTAAGTATGACATTTTTTATTCCATCTAAGTCTAGTTGCTACCTACATGTATTTTGCTAGTTCAATGCAATATGGCCAAAGAATTTTTTTTCCCAAGATCAGATTTAATATTAACTTCAACATATATAGAGATGACTTACCAAACCATGTCTGTGTGTTACATGGAGATTACCAACAAGCCTCAATAATTAACTAAAATTAGAATAATAAGTTTTGTGTTTTGTTTTTTATGTACCATTTCAGTTAACTTTTCAAATAACTCCTGTATATGTTAAAGTTATAGATTTCCATTAAAAGAATGTCGCATATTGAATATTGTCGAAACTCTACCACTTCAGTTTGAAATTGTCACTGCCATTTTGGAGAGAAATATATTAATTTATTGTTCTATGTAGTCTTACATCGAGCAACATCATGCCACCTAAAGCCTTCAACAAGTATTCTTAATTTGTCAACAACTCCTTATTTCTTGAAAAATTCAACCACAAAAATTGAATTTTAGTACCTAGACAAAACACCCCTTGACATCTCTCTCCCAAAACGTTATCCCTTTTGTTTTGTATGTGAAGAAATTAAGAATGTCTCTTAGATCAGAGTTTAGATAAACTTTAGGATCTTCCGTCATCCCTCATGGATTATTTGTGTCAACTTCTTTTCTTTTAATGCTGGTACCTTCACATATTGATAATGAGACTCACTATCTTGCTATAGTATTGTTTATTACCATTCACTGTGACAAACTGGACATGGAATCAGGTTATGTACCACCTGTTGTACTGTGTGGAACCTTTTTGGAGTCTGTGGTTTATGAACTCTGAATCTAAAAACAGATAATTGTCTAAACCATTATAACAACCACATGACAAGGGTAAAAAAATCCCTCTGCACCTTAGAGTGATTTTAATTCAGCAGAGCAACGACAAGCATATACTGCTACCTCAATTTTTGCTGTGTTACTCAATATCAACTGTTTGCATTTTTTCGGGAAAATATTTTGTTAATTTGTGTGATTAAATTATGAGTTTACATTATCATATTTCTATAGTTGTGCCTGGAAGGGGGAATGTCATTCAGCTTGTTTGGATAGCATTTTCAGAGAAGATAATCACAGAAAAACATACAATAAACACTGAGGATACTTTTTATTCAGATAAAAAAAAATCAAGATAAAATTTACAAAACAGAATAGATACCATATAACATACAAATCCATACACAATATACACACTGTGGATGGATGGAATGTTCGGTACTGATAAAAAATCGTCGTAATTTACATGGACGGAACACAGCAAAATTGGTTAAATCCATTGCTATACATTGAAATTGATCTATTCAATCGCTGTTTTCATACTATGCGTGTCAATATCAGCGGTCGGTGCTGCACTGCCAATGGTAAAGACTGACTTCAGATCCTAGAAAACATAAAAGTAAATATATGTAATGTCTGCTAGAATGAGTAAAACTAGGTATCACACATGTGATAGGAAGGCTGTTTACACCGTAACTAATGATATGTAATAATACAACCAAAGTTATAGTGTTGCTAGAGGGAATGGGAATTATCAGTGAACTAAAGTAAAAAAAGAAACGTTCAGCTCGTTTAGTTTCGTCGATTATATGTTATATGAATGTTCACTATGTTTTATATTCACAACTAGTAGTTTTATGACAGGCATAATTTTATAATTACCTACACACATATGTTTCAATTTAGTGCATTTAATCTCAGTTTAAGGAACATCAAATTAAAGAATCTATACTGTAGTGTAAAAATATAAACCAAGTTATAGATCATTATATGTAAGTCATATGAAATTTTGAAAACAATAAATGAATCCAGGTTTTACTTACAGGTGCTTGATATCTCTTACACATCTGTAAGCAATCTTGGATGATAGGGTGTTCTATTAATGTGGTAAACAACACTGGTTCCAGAGTCTCATTTCCCAAGTCTTGATATACACCTGCTAAACGCTCTCGAGAGAAAGTATCTTGAGGATCAGAGGATATGCTAAAGCGATGGCTATCACCTAGTCGAGGCTGTCCATGATGTAATACCTAAAAATAGACCATTATTATAATGAGTGGGGGTGGAAATAAATCTTTCACAAAATGATCAATGGGGACATGTGTTCATTTGAAAAAATGTTGTAAAATGTAACCCCAACAAAAGGATGAGAAAAATTATGGTGTTCAAAGATGTACATATAAAGTGTTCACCCTAGGCAACACCATATAGACTAAAACTACTTTCATCAGACGCAGAAACTTGATTTCTTTACTTGCATGACACCCCCACACATCCAAGTGAACAAATCCAAGAAGTGACCACAAGTTGACAGCAGTAAGTATCATAGGTCAATTTATTTTCAACTGTTAACACATGTTTGAGGTATTCATGTCAAACAAATTTAGGAAATATTGAATATTAATATGGTTAAGCTTTAGCAAATGACACAAGTGAATTAAAGTAGAGGCCTACTTATAATGGAACTATGAAATACAGGTAGCATTCTTTTGTGTGATATAGTGACATATTTTTAAAAACTTGTCTTAATATTTTTCCAAAAATCGCTATTTTTAAAACAATGTTGAAGAAAAATTGCCACTTTTTAAAACCCAGATTTTTGAAATAATTGAGAACAACATAAAGTACCCCATCATTCACAATATATAATTTTTCAGTCTATGTCATCAGCCTACAATTTAAGATATGACATATTATCTCTGCCATAGGAATCTGTGGTAAAGACACTATAATACTGCCAAAATGGCCAATATCTGCTAAAATACAACCATAATTTCTTGAAAATCAAGCAGGTGACTGCCAACATTTTAAAGTCAATATCCTTATATTGCCTGGAAGTACAATTTATTGGAAAATGAATAAATTTTGGCTACATGTATTTGAAATCATAATAAGACTTCTACCTTAAGGGTCTTGGCATACATCGATCTTTTTTAAAAAAAAACTAGGACTGCACAAGCATAAATAATCAATCACAAACAAGATGATATTTCAGAAATCAACTTTTTTATTGTTGAAAATAAGAACACCAGAAGCCTGTGACACCTTACCCGGTACAAAGCATCAAGTGGAACTTTACTCATACTGGCTGACTCAGGTATTTCTTCTGAAGGCTGTGGTGCAGGTGCTTCTTCACTGATCAAATTTTCCGGTTTAGAAACCTCGCCAGCTTCACCTACAATTTCATCGACAACCTGTAATATTACATTGAATAACATTTATTTTAATTTTAACATAATCTCTAATTTAATAGTAGCCTGTGACAAAAAAAGAAGCAAAGAGGCAGTTTTGAAAACTAGAAATGAAAACATAGTAAAATGTTATATAAACAGATACTCAACTTATGCAGATGCCAAACAAAATTTTAATTTCAATAGTCTAGTATCATACTTGGTGTATCAGTGTTAGAATACATTATATGACTGGTGGAATGCACACTGTCCTGGTGCTATGTCTATTATTGCAGCTATATTCACCACTATAACAAGGAGTAGAATATGCACATAGCAATGCTTTACCTCTTTCATATGTTCTAGTTTCTCATTCTGTGACTGGTCCAGTTCTGGTTCTGGTTCATCTTTCTTTGGTCTTGGCATGTGAGTGCCGGACGCAATGCTCAGTGCTCGGTAGAAACCAATCTGGTAATCAGGGTCAATGGCATAGTACAACAACTACAAAAACATAAGTGTTTATGGAATCACAATGTTAGAAAGACACCAGTTTTTGAATGGCAGAAATCATTTGAAATCATTTGTTTTCATGATTTGAATGTTAAAGTTGACTTTTGTAATCCTTCACAAACATATTTATTATCAGTATCACATATTTTTATGATTCCGAACACAATAAATCAATTCAAAGTGTATAAGTGCTCCTTTTTGTGATGTGCTACTAGTGCAGCAAATACAGTACATACACAAAAATTGAGCAATAGAATAAGGCGTTTTGAAAAAAAATTAAGAAAATAGTTATTCTCATGAAATGAACAAATCTGATTGAGGTCTACATAAGGTATCTTCTCATGAACAATCAAGGCAGCTACATAAGTCAAAAGTTTTTTTGAAAAAAAGTCCAGAAGTATCCATGAATGAACTGAGTAACTGATCAACTTTACGTTATGTCATGAATGTGTGTAAATTTTTCATAACCAATCAACAAGATTACAACAGACTTGACCTTACAGTTGTATAGTCGACAAAACTCAGTTGAAAGCCTATTCATTTTTGAAAAACTTCCAATAACAAATCTGAAAGTTACAGCATTTGCGAATATGCTGAAAGACAACTGATATATTGCATCGTTTTTAGTTATTAAGTTATTATTTGTCTTCACTACAATAAATAAGTTACGCATTATTTGAATTGAAAAGTACACAATGTTTGCACTCACTCAAACACAATGGTAACACAAGTAAAATAGTCATTCTATGAATTTGAAAGTTGTGCATCTTACACTAATCTTAATGGAACATGCTTCATATCGCATATTGTATAGTTTGGTAGTGAACTCTGCATGTGATTTGGTGAATTGATGACACCCTAAGTTGCTAAAAACACAAATGAACACACAGAACTGCTTGATGTTCAGCTATTGACATATAACGTCTTACACGATATCTTGTAAAACACAGAGTTGATGCATTTATTACAGTACACATATTACTTGTCATGTCAAAGGCTTCAAGAAAAATTTAGCCAACAATAAATAACATGGAATTCCTTACCATTTCTAAATAGTCTAACATTAGTGGTGAGGAGTTGTTATCAGCGAAGATATCAAACAACAAACGACTAATATTAGCTGCTCTAGTATAAGGATATGGCTCAGATGGACCTTCAGGTGATGGAAGTCGTTCATCCGCACCAAACCATAGTTCCACCTAAAGAGAAAAATAAGTATTTACTACAAATACTGAATATAACATTTTGATGATTTCATAATATAATTTTAATTTGTAGAATTCTTATGATCTAAATTATGAAAATTCACAAACTCTTACTTCTTCAAATTGTTCTCTTGTAACTTTGCCTTCACCCGAGGTATCAACAGCTCTGAATTTCTCCAGCGTTTCCAGCAGCTGAGCTTGAGTTGGCTGTGGCCATGGATGTGTGCATTGCAACAGGAACGTTCTGAAATCTATGTATTCTGAGTCTGGTGACAAATGCGATCCAACCTGCTCCAGCTGAAGTACAAATACACAATATTATTATTATTAACAAGTCTTGTATCCATAGCAGTGCACCCTCTAAGTCAATATGAACAAGACACACTGAGAATTTTCATGAAACAACTAATCATGCTCATTCCATGGTGCATCACTGACTCAATAGAAAACTATACCTAGAAAAATATCTTGCTATGATTAAGAAATTTAGTAAAAAAAAAAATGTTATAAACAAAACGAGTGTAAGATTGAAGGAATCGGTGACCACAACATTTATGTTTGCGTCTTTAGAAGTCACTCACAGCTACATAAAATCTTGAATTTTTTATTAAATACCTTTTTCTCTAGCAGTAAAAAAGTGACTGAACTTTATTTTTGGGATTCCATTTTGACAAAATTAGTCCTGTTAGAGGGCATTAATTAGTATACCCTTGAACTCAAACATACATTACTAATGGCTGCTATAAAATTATATTTTTTTAAAGAAATAAATGTTTTTGGTTTTGTTGAACACTTACCTGTGATGGTGAAGCATGCATCCACATATCAGGAAGGGACTCCATACCGTGCTGTAAGAAAGATCAGTGCTTTGATTAGAAATTTGCAAGCTTTCATGAAATGTGGATCATATGAGTCATATCCTTGCAAACATTGAACAAATTGGTAATACAATTTTGGTGTGTTATGTTAAGTTGGCTATGACATCTTTCAACAAGCAAATTAGACAATATGATATATTGTAGGTAATATTTGGTATCCAGAGAAACTACTCAAAATAGCTAGACATTAATTTCAAGTATTTTATCGACAGCATAGAAGAAAGCTAGATAGCTATTTTGAATAATTACCTAAGAACATAATTATCTAATATTATCTAATATATATGTTAGATGTTTCGGTATGAGCAGTGTTTATTTATTTACTACTTTTAAACAGCAATATGAATATTTTTATAACGTACTGTTAATGCTGTCAAATCAGACATGGTATCGATGAATCCTTTGTTTGAAATGAACCCAGAGGGCGCTGTTTTCAAGAACTGCTTTCTCAAATTCTTTATTTGGTCCACAGTGAATACATCAGACGTCGCATCTTCCATCGGAGGTGGTCTTGGTGGTGGACTAGGTGTTCGTAATACACGTATGTTCTACAAATGAATTAATACAATTTTAGAACATATTATTAATTTAGAAGTACTAGGTATTAATATACATCCAATACAAAAATAATAAACGCATTACAGATGTGTTTGAAAGTGTTATGCAGGCCATTGAATGTCTTCCTTATTTGGAAAATGTGTGTCGCATTTACATCACGCTTGAACACTTTCTTTTGTTCACATCAGACACAGTACTATAGCGCGTGACAGAAATAAAATATCATCACTGAACGTTGTCAATGATATTTCTCATTATATTATTATTACAAACTGGAAAATAATGTACGATAATAATGTTGTCACAAAAACACATCAGTTGATGAGATGCCTTCTTGCATACTTTGTGATATTCTTGTAATAGCCTTGTAATACATAACCATTTGCAAAAAAATTCATTGCATGTACAGAAAAATTCTACATTGCATAGCGTTTATGATAATCAAGAATTTATTTGACAAATGTAAAGACCCTCTGCCTAGAGAACATGGCACATGAGGTTGACATTATTTGAGTGGAACACATGGTCCAATTATGATGATTGCAAAGTTTATAAACTCACCTCATCAATAATAAAATCTTCTTGTTTGATTATCAATTCAGATTTCATCTTTTGTTTGGCTTCTACAGCTTCACGTGCAATGACACACATGTCTTCAATACTGGAAGAAATAACAAATAACAAGGGTTGTTGTATTACAAACATGATGTCAAGCACACTATGAATCAATGTCACACACCAATGTAACCATAGTAACACACAATGATGGGGGAAATGTTTCCTATCTCTTAATAAAGTATTTATTTACAAATGAGTAAAACAATTTAATTTCAATAAATCAAACAATAGAACCACTTTATGTTATTATACTGTGAATGCATCAATTATATGCTAGTTTATTTCACTATTTTAGCAAATAAGTAAAATATGCTAATTAATATTAAATAACAATAGAACTCACTGTTTTCACTGGCAAATTTGTGAACCCAGTAATAAAACAGTGAATTTGCTCAAAATATCAAAATAGTGAAATTAAATGTCAGTGAAAATAAATGGTTTACAGTATTTATAAAATACTATGAATCACTTAATTTTCACTAATAGAAATGTTTGCAATTTCAGGATTTAATGTCATTTGAAAGCAAATGACATTCTGTGTCATAAGATGTGAGGCAAATTCCATGATTTTCATTTACTGCGAAAATGTGTCCCTGGCAAAAATCCATGGAACACTTTGATCGCATCTTTTTTCCTTGCCAAAATTTTGGTACAACTTTGGCTAATTTTCACATATTTTTTTATAAATTTTTTGATCATTTTGGTGAAAATGGACATAACTTTCTATTGGCTATATAGTTCTTGATCAAAGTTATTGAAAAAAAGTTGACTTTGGTGCTCAAAGGGTCAAAGTTGAATGTGATAAAAGTAGTTATATTCACCTATTCTACATGTGTACTTATTGCGTTTAAAGGTCATACAGAATTTCAGATAAATTTTCACATGCATACAATTATGTTAGTATATATTATAATTATGGAAAATGTTTGAAAACTGAAATAAAGTAAGTTACAATTTTGCAGTGTTGATATAATGCATTACCTCTTATGCTCAGAATTGAATCTAGCACCCAACCAATCATTCATACTGGTATAGACACTCTCTGCTTTGCCCTTTAAGTTTTGTAGCACATCAATGCCGTGTACGCGAATCACATCAAGACGCACTTTCACAGCCGATTCTGGATGAGAAAACAATGTATGAAATAAATATTCAATGCTGCAGTATGGCTAGCCTGACAAGGTCACATGAGTTGCGCCCTCTGTGGTGCTCCAAACCCAACACACAACTGACAGAATAATGTAGTTTTTTATCAATCGAATTGCAGGAATGTCAGATAGTGACAGCCATCAAAGAGTAACCATTCATAATTTCCGCTTAATATTTATCATCTTGTTGAAAACAGTCTGTGATTTTTGCCGACAATGCAAACACGGCTTTGAATATTCAAAATAAATATTCATTCAAACTCATTGCAAGAAGGCGTGACCTTTGTGAATACGCAGTATTGAACTTTCTGACGAGACATACACTATTCTGTCAGAGTGGGATCTGATGCCTACATGTCAGGCTACTGTATGGCTTTGTCAATGTTCTAATTGAAGTTTTTGAAGGTTGGTATAAATACATGAATAAACACTGAATTACAGAAGAAAGTATTATTTACTTATTGGTATGAGTTACCCACAACAATATCTCACCTTCTTCAGCGATTGCAGCAAAATATTCTTGCTTCATTTTCTCTTTCAGTTCCTTCTTCGCTTTCTCTTCAGGGCTTTCTTCTACTCAATAAAAGCAAAATAAAATTTGTTGATTGTCTCCAAAAATTCAAAAGTGGATATTTTTAGTAATAAAGCTAAATTGTGAGTTGGCAAGCTACTGGGCTATGCAACAGTTAGTGACAATTTCATTGGAGAGGGGGGTGCTATACTCAGAGTATTCACCATAATAACAATTTCAGTTTTGTGGGAACATGCCATCCATCTTTAAAAGATACAATTTATTAACATTTGAAAAATGACTATCTATTCATTGATAACAAAATTGATGTCATTTTGGTATATATGCATATTTATGAACCAGGAATACTTTGAGGGGAAGCTGCACAATAATTTATTATAAATAGGAAATGAAATCTAATACAAACTACAATCCCACTTGTATTACAGAATTGACAATTGATCTATTATTTTCTTACTGACCCGGTGGGGGAGTTGGAGCTGGTTCTGCAGATGGTGCTCGTTTCCCCTTCTTTGGTGACTTGGGAGATTTAGATCTTGCCCTTGGAGAGGAACTCTTTCCTCTTTTCCCGGCAGGGCTCTTGCCACGCTTGCCACCACCGCCTTTCTTGGCAGTAGCAGCAGCTTTTTCTTTTTCTTTCTCCTTCTCTAGTTCTTTCAGTCTCTCAGCTTCTTCCTCAGCATCCTTAGCAGCTTGCTCAGCAGCAGCCTGATTGGAGGAGAAGGTATGCAAATTAGCAATATGTAAATTTATAATCTGCACACGTCTCTACTAGTGGTTTGTGATGCTGGTCAAATGCGGGTCTTGCAGGAACAGAATTTTCAAGACAAAGTTTTAAAATGAAATCAACCCAAATAAAAAGGGCACTCCAAATCAGAAATGTACAACAAACAATTGTTTTCAAAAGCCAGCATTCAATGCATGCAATATAAAGTGCCATAGTTTTGTACAAGCATTGTAATTTTGTGTAAATAATTATTTATACAAGCTGTAGATGTTGCATGGGACCCACACATGCATGTGTAATATGGGATTCATTTCACAGCGTGTTGTAAAGACTGGTGCTTTATGAGAGTGAGCTCAACCACCAATGATACTTTGGAAGCCTCAATTCTAAAATATTTATCAGTGTTTGACATGATGTCATCAGTTTTAAACTTTGGCTGAGAGAAACAAATAAACATTTAATTTCAATTCTTTAAAGCTAAGATTTTTATGTTACGCTTATTATCTGCTGGACTTTCTTAATTGATAGATATGGAATTGTCTGGTTGATTTTTGTCACTGCAAGCAACAATTCTAAACGGATGTTTACTGAATTTCAGTGATCAGTGATCACAAAACACATTTCTTTCTCCATAGTGATAACAGTACCATGCTGGTCAATCTAAACTTCAACTACACTGTGCTCATGTGCTGTGTTTTTTGGTTCATCTACAGTCCCAAACACATAATTAATTAACAATAGTAAAAACGTAGCCTTATTAGTTGCAACCTACTACAGTGTGAAATAAGTTTGATATTTGGATTACTATTGAAACTTAAAGGAAGATAAATCTTGGCCATGATTTGATTGTTTTAAATGGGAATAAAAATGTTTAATTTTAAATTGTTACGATAATTTTAAACTACTTAAAATGGTTTAAGTTGAATTATGAGTAATACATTTTATTTTCATACTAATAAATGAGAGAAACGTATTGATTTTGTATCTACCATTTAAAGGGCGGTGATCATTACGACCAATATGGGTCCCACACTATGCATAGCAACATATATGCATGTGAATCAAATATGTTATTAATATACGCAAAATTCAAACTCATTTGAATGCATGTGGTCGCAATGACCACCATCCTTATCAATATTTAGAAAAAATACATGACATAAAATCACCCAGTATGGTGTTACCAATATCAAAAAATAATAAAAGTAACCAAGGATTATGAAATGGAACTATGGGAAATCATGAATGAAAACATATGATAATTAATTACAGTCTACTCAACATGGTGTTAGAGAAAAAAAAAATGCTGAACATAAAGAAAACACACATGCACTTACCAGGTACAATGCTTTGAACTCACTGCACTAGAATTAGTATGCAAGCATTAAGAGTGATAAAATAAAAATAAGAAACAAAGACAAAAGAAAGAAGAGTGGTGATGAATAGGGGTACATCTGAGAGTGCAGCTAGTCAATGTGTTAGCAATTCTGTACCCAACAGTGGCAGGTCGTGTTGAATTGTTCTACAAAACATTAACTTATAGTGTGGAAACATGTAAGCTACAACACAGGCATGGTAGACAGCTTTTTTTGATTCAAATTTAAGAATAAGTGTAAAAAAATGTGTTTCTCTGGTTTAAAATCGAAATCTTGTTCATACAGTGAAGTGTCTAACAGAGAAATGAGTATTTTGTAAACATACAAAGCTTCACACTTATTCAACGTAAACAGGTATTACAACATACCATTTCACTGATTTTGAAGACAGAAAACTGGTGAACCTCAAACAGAATCTGCAAAAAAAAAATGGAAAACAAATTTGAACATTCTCATATAAATACTTTCTAAACTTATACAGCGATCAACAAGAAATTTCAAAGCAGTGTGATTCTACTACTTTCTCAAATTTACATTGCCACATTTTTTGAAATACAATATGCAATATCAGTATATAATATGTCTGTCTGTGCACCCATCAAAGGACATAAGTGACTCACCCTTTCATCAGGATCACTGGGTGGCTGAGGAGTTTCTTGAGACTCATCAGACATCCCTGCTTTATCCTTGTCTTGTTTTTTTGGAGCGCGATTTTTATTCCCTTTATCCCCTTTACCAGCTGATGCTTGAAGAGGAAAGAATCCTTCTGAGGAAGTTGGGCGACGAGGAACCAGAGGAATCCTATGAAAAAGTAATTAGTCATCATTTTCAGTGGAAATAAGGCCACCTAACTTAGCATGAAAAGGCAAAAGGCATGTGAGATGTTACAGCTAGTTTAAAATGAAGACTGTTCCTGCGTTATCTGTACCATGGTGGTTGTTGTACAGCACATGTTCAACTTCTATGAATACAAACAATGTATTATATTGTAAATGCACATGTGATGCATATTCAACAGGAGAAAAATGTGCACCAATAAAAATATAATGGAAACAACATAATACTTTAACAGAGAATGGTCACCTTGGTTTTTTATCCTCTTCATCATCATCTTTTCCATCATCTTTATCATCTTTTCCTTTCTTCCCTTTAGCAGAGGCAGAAGTCTGTGATGGAGTCAGTGGTGGCCCTGGTACCTCAGACTCGCTTGTCACACTCTTTGCGACCGACTCCGGTCTCTCAGTAGCTGGAAGTTCAATCAATGGTATTCGAACGTATTCCTCATTCAATTCGTCCGGTATCTTCCCTTCCATACCGGTGTAGTAATCTTTCAACAATCGTAATGTGTCTTGGTATCTGTCAACTTCCGCCTTTGGTAAACAAATTTAATAATACATAATGAATTACACTATATTTTGGGCCAAAGAATTGATTGTTAATGTATAAACTTTTCAATTATGCAATTATTTTTAGACATTTTTCAGTAAGGCACAAATAAAGCAGGGAGACAATGTAAGCATAAGTCGTTTACTTTATTATTGCTTGTATACCTGTATCAATGTAACATAATGATTTGTCAGCAACCCCATCCTATCTTCTAACCAACCTTCTTCCATTACATTGGTGCGTTCAGTTTCAGCTTCTTCTTTTCGCTTGTCACATATATCCCATAATCGATCTTTCAAATCCTATCACAGAAATACATAACAGTTTCTTATAAAAACAAGAACTTCAGAATGCAGATGCAACCTTAATTTCTATTCCTCATCCCATAAACAATTTGTAGGTTTCACATCACATTTTGTCTGAGTACATTATCAAGCCCACCATTTTGTTTATCACATAGACTATACATGTATGTAGGTTTCAGTGTCATGTGATATTTTTGTCTGAGTACATTATCAAGCCCACCATTTCATTCATCACATAAACTATATGTACGTTTCAGTGTCATGTGATATTTTTGTATATCATCAATTTGTTTTTAGCTATCCCAGAAAAGAACCTATCGATTTACTCTGTCATAACTGCAAATCGAACACATGTCAACTTACATCAATTCTCATATGCAGCTCCATTTTGGTTTCCTCGTCGTCTCGCATATCATCCGGTATCTCATTGTAATCTTTCTGCCATTGTGTTACAAATTCTTGCTTGCTGTCAGGTCGTTTCAGATATTCTATGTAATTGTTGCGAATCTTGTGGAAGTATCGGTAGATGTTTTCTCTTTCATCTCGCACCTTGTGGAATACATGTTTGCATCCATCCACGTATGTGTTCTCCACTGTGTCCCAGTGATCAGCTAAGATTTTAGCAAGCTCCTGCAAATGAAAAAATCTGTTAATGCACAAGATTTGCATAAAAGTTTCTTACAGTTTAATCTCAGTATACATAGCTACTGGGTCACTATTAAACTGTGATTTACGAATTGCCATTTGCTATGTATAATTTGCGACTTGTGATCCTCTCACAAGCAAAGCAAAAACTAGTTTGTCTATAAAATTAGGACTGGAATCGCGTAACTGAAAAAAATATTTTTTAGGTCAACTAAATACCGATAGTATTGCATTTTTATTGAGTTTTATTAAATTGCAATCTTATATAGAATTGCCATTTAATTTAAAATCACAAATCGCAAATCATCATGGTTTAGTGGTGGTCCAATCACTAAGCTATCATAGTCTTCTGATATTAAACTATTTAAACATTGTAGGATTAGGTATTTCTTATATGCATGTAGAAATGTTGTGATGATACAAATTCAAAACAATGGTGATATTTACATAGATATTTATGAAATGAAACAATATTTAATATGCAGGCAAACGTGTTACAAAGGTGATGTGTTGTATTTGGACGTTCATTTGCTGCAGTTTCATAAACGTGTATAATTATTTCAATAAAAGACAGAGCCAACAAAAGTTGATAATAGCCTACATCAGCAAGTGCTTCATTCACATACTCCCAGTCTTCTGATCCAGGTAGCGGTGGTGGTGGACCCTGTGGTTCCTGAGGCTCAGGTTCAGGTTCAGGCTCAGGAGTTTTTGACTTTCTCCCTGAGCCCTTTCCTCGCTTCGGCGATTGAGACTTGCCCCGCTTTGGTGAACCTGAAATGAAACAAGTAAATGGTAGACAACTGATAGAAAAGCTACTTGTATTTAAACAGCAATTCACTGCAAATTAATAGCAAAATATAAGGTGTATGGAGGATCAAATGCACACACTGGAAGCTCTACAGAACAAACTTGTCAGCTGTTTACATTTCATAAATATCACCAAACAAACACAACATCAGATAATTGTTTCTATTACTGTCACAATCATAGTGACACCCAAACAGCAAATATTCTAACTAAGTTGCTTACTGGTTTGCTATGTGTATTTCAAGCATCATAAAAAAAGCTGGTTAGATCAAACCACTCGAGTCCACCATTTGGCGAAATGCCTGTGTGCAATTACTAATGTTATGTCTTGCATTAGACATAAACCATGTGTCATGACATGTGAGACTGCGGCAATACATACACCAGTATTTTGTTAAATTTCGTTGAATAACTTTCACATTTGTCACACAGCAATTTATATGATGAAATATTCAATGTGTTCCTCAATATTAGCTTGATGTCTCCTTGAGTTTCTTTGTCTCCATCACAGATTTTGAGACACACATAGCAACCAGTTAGCAACATAGCTCCCAATGTTGCTTTTTTGGTGCTTGTAACAATTTGGTAATGACAGTAAATTGCGTATGCTTTGTTCATTATTAGCATAGAAATGAGAGAAAAGGACAAACAAATTTATGGCTCAATTACTTTTACTAAAATTAAAAACAAAAGAATTTATGATAAAAAAAACATAGAAATTTGTTTTTACTTGTTTAGATTGTAAAACGTTTTTAAATATAATTGCTTCATCCCACTGAGGCCTCACAAAAAACCCTAGAAAAAACAGAGGGCCACTGAGGACACTGTGCAGTATGGTATTGAAAAAAAAAATCGGCCTACAATTTTGTTGATGGTGAATAGTTGTCGTTGCTGTGGCTACTACAGACAGTTTCAATTATCATAACACATTACCATTTGATATCACATCAGGTGTGTCAGATATCAATTCTATTTATTGGTAATTAGATGTGTCACCACAGGTGTAAGGAAAGTATAGTTATAATCAGAAACAAATTCAGCTGCATAGTATATATGTAAAAAAAAATATAGCAGAGGGAATAGAGGCATTTCTAAACACTTGGTAAGAAACTGCTGCAGGAATGGATTCATTTCAGAGGGTTAGCTGCATTTAGTATTCTAAGTACTTAGTTATTATTGCCTTTGTGTTGATTAATGGCAATGACTTACGTGACTTAGCTCCTGTGTTTTTGTCTTTGCCTATGAGGTGCATGCGTGGGATAAAAATACAGTGTTATTAGATGTGAGTGTCAATGCAGATTATATTGAAATACAATTATGTTAAAGCTGTATTGCCTTCTATATTTTGTTTGTAACAAGGGCTTTGAGTAATTCGTCTAATCCATGTTAAAATCTGATGCATTGTGTCGCTCGCTTGACAAACATGCAATTCTGATATGTATATCCCTGTTTTGAATTTCCAAATGCTTGCTAAAGTTAACTAACATGGGAAGTATATTGTGTGATGTTTATCACAGACCAATCTTGAGGAACAATGTGTCACAATAGATTACAGAATGGGTGTAAAATATACAGTCATCTCCAAATCTGAGAATGTCATAACTGTTAATAACCTGTTACCTGCAAATTATTATTAGGTCATTCAAAATAAAATATATGAGGCAATACAGCTTTAAGAATAAAACCTGACACGGTATCCTACACTTTATGATTTAAAGTATAGATTGTATGAAAGTGGGATTACAGATTATTGGTGCAAAATGGTGTATGACAACATAACAGGTGAGAAATATATTTAGTCAAAGTGTCATGATCATTTTAATGCTAAAATGAAATTGCCTACCTTTCCTATCTGCTGAACCTCCTCTTTTTGGACTCCCCCCTCTTTTAGGACTGGCACTGCCACCACGTTTGCCCTTGGCGCTTCCTTTGGGTGATGCCTCCCGTTTAGGTGAACCAGTTCTTTTTGGAGAACCACCTCGTTTCGGTGAGCCGCCTCGTTTAGCAGAGCCTCCTCTCTTGGGAGATCCTAACAGGATTAAATAAAGTACATGAATCTTTACTAGATGTAAAGACAAAGATAAGCCATTTATGACACATAAATTTCTCATTTCTAATTTGGCTATTTAAAAAAAAAACACCAAACTAGGTTTTCAGTTATGTATTACGAAATAACCACGTTTTATTTGCTGTTTGAAAAAGAATTCAAGGTGACCAAACTAGGTTTTGAGTTATGAATTATGAAATACTAGTAACCACTATTTATTTGCTGTTTGAAAAAGAATTTGAGGCGACAAAACCGGTAAAGGTGACCAAACTAGGTTTATGAATCAAGAAATAACCACCTTTTATTTGCTGTTCATTCAATTCATGGACCTTTCACTCAAAATATCAAGATACCAAGAAGGCTTTTAAATTGTCATTAGTCAGCAACATCTTATCACAAGGTCTAAACTCTATATGTTTTTGCTATGTTATTGTTGTCAATGTGTAGTTTTATGTGAACATGTTGTTGCAATTTCAAAACCTTACTACTTCAGGAATAAATGAAAGTTGTGAATAAAACTTTACCTCCTCTGGATCCTTTCTTAGAACCTGGTCTTTTGTCGGTTTCACTCAACTGTAGAATAAACAAAAATCATAAATATTTTTTGGAATAAATTGGCCTCGAGGCGATATAAGTAAACTATTGAGTATCATCGTTGTTGTGAATTCTGATGAAATCATGGCTGAGTATGGCCTTAGATGGACACCACTCTCTCATCTAAATCCTGCTTCTGATAGATATTTCCAAGCAGAATAGTTTTTAAATTTGAAATGATCTTACCACCTGAGACTCTGAAGCCTGGGGTGCAAGGGAGTCTTGCCCGTCTGTTGGCAACTCAGATGTAGCTGCTGTACTTGCTTTCTCTGCTTCTGCTTTAGCAGCAGCTGCTGCAGCCTCTGCCTCTATTATCTTCCTCTCTTCTTCTTCCTTGGCAGCCTCTCTCTATTCAGTAAAATAAAAGTATTCATTACAACTATGTTATAATATCACGATTAAGTAATAGTATTTTATAAAATCAATATATTATCATGGTTTCATCCTGTTTCTACTAACTGTCATCATTCATGAACGATAATGTCAATTGTCCTCTCACCTTTTCAAAGAAGTCCTTCAAAGCCTGGGCGGCTGAACTATAAACATCCTCTCGTGCTTGGTTTGCATCAATTTTCACTAAAGAACCAAAACCATTGAACCATTTTTCAAGTTTTTTCCAAGAATCTAAAAACCCAGTGATTCTGAGAAAGAAAGAAAAAGGCAAAAAAAACAAAAATGTGAAAAGATGAAAAACAAACTTGTGTACAGTTTTTTTTTAATTCAAAGTATACTGTGCAGTATTCTTCAACCCTAACCTAATGTCATAACTTAACATAGTCGATAGAAATAATTTCATGGTCAATGGAGATTTGCAAAACGTACAAATGTAAGGCGGTTTCTTCACTTTTTGGCTTGCACAATGGTAGTTATTTACAAATGTTGTATTATAAATGCAATGCTAACAGAGGGAGCACTGTTTGACTCTATATCCATATAACATATAACATTTACAAATACTTATTGATACATCATTTCCACAGGTCTACATCCCATGTTCTATTTGGACAGGATAGTGATGTATTACATAGTAACAGAACTAACTGCCCAGTACTGTAGTCACAAGGAGAAGTTTGAGAAATGTCCAGTACAGTTGAATTTATTACTTTATAGTTATCATTATAGACAGGGAGAGCATTATTATTTTCTCAAAGTGAGTTCTGACAAGAAAGCATAAAAAAAATGCTAAATTGATCTTTATCACAAATTGAATCAAATTGAAGGCGCTTTGGGGTCAAGGATGCAGAATTTGTGATTAAGACAGTGACAATCTTGCACAATCTCCCACCTTGTCCAATCATCAGATAACTAACGGATAACAATCTTTGACTGCCTTATTTCACATGTATCAACTCATCTCACCTGTGTTGCACTTGCTCCTGATCATGAGCCGGATCTTTCACCGCCATGACTTTCTCTTGTTTTCCGATACCTGTTATACTGCCCTCTGGTGGTGGATTGAACTCTTGCTGGAATTCCTCTTCAGTTTGCACAGAGTCTAAGGATGTGAAAAGTTACAAACCAAATTAAATTACACAGTAACAACTACAATAGTAACACCAGTAGTTTTACCGTAATTCTATTAGAAGTGCATCTGATGCATTAACACTTCAACGATTATCTAAAAGGAGAAATGGATTGTCACTAAACCATTATTATATAATCATACTGATTCACACATACTCTATATAATAATGACAGACTCACAGTTCTATGCCAGATAGTGTGTAGGCCATGAGAAAGCACACTGTCAAGTGGACAATTCATTCCAAATCCAAAATCACACTGTAGGGAGTTCATTATTGTTATTATACCATCACATGTTTCATGTATGCAGTCAGGGCCGATGGAATAATATTTACTTTATTGTCTGATGATGTATAACAAACACTATGCCCTAATATGGCCGATGATATGTACATATGTAAGTATATAAAGGAGTATGCTATGGTTGATACTGTATTCACTGAAACTTTTTTTAGGTATTACACACATATGGGAGACTACTATGACATGCAATAAAAGAGTATTACAGTATAAATATAATAGATGACTGACAATCGATACAATGTAGTGGAGATGTTAATACAAAGATGAGCTTACCTTAAGTAGGATATGGTAAATTTGAGGAAAACAGAAAGGACATATGATTATACAAACAATGAAATTAATAACATATACATGCATTACTATTAGTACATGAACATAATGAAGACAATGAAATCAACAACGTTATACATATATGTGTGGACAAACAGACATGAAACATGCATTAATATGTACTACTGGTAGCATATATACATGTGCACAACCAAAGACATCCTACATACAGATTAAAAAAGACAATGAAATCAACTCATACATCAGTATGAAATCAACACATGCATCAGTATGAAATCAACAAATAATCAGTATGAAATCAACAAATAATCAGTATAAAATCAACACATGCATCCATACTTACACATGTTAACAATGAAATCAACACATGCATCCATACTTACACATGTTAACAAACAAAGAAATCAACGCATGCATTTGTACTTACACATGTTAACAAACAATGAAATCAACACATGCATCCATAATTACACATGTTAACAAACAAAGAAATCAACGCATGCATTCGTAATTACACATGTTGACAAACAATGAAATCAACACATGCATCAGTATGAAAACAACTCATACATCAGAACACACATTCAGGTGACAACATATTAGAAAAAAAACATGCTTATTAATAGTCAATCCAAGATTGGAATAACAAAAGGCAATAATATTATTTGCACTTGTCAGTTCCAAGCATCTACAAAAGTATGCACAATATTATATGTATATACTGCCCATAATTATTTTTATACAGTGATAACATCAGTAATTATGGCTGATACACATTTTAAATCTTGCATGCTTAGATGACTGGGATTTGACAAACTGGCCTTCAGTTAAGACCCAAACTTCACATACAACAAGAAGCATAATTACGCTTCAAACTCACATGTTCGTCCAGAGGCTCTTCTCAGAGCAATTTCATCTGGTATGTCAAACAGCACCACAACGTCGATTGCACTGGTTGGTGGTGGTGGTTCCTTAGCAGGATGAGGATCCTGTGCTAATCTACTCTTCTTTGTCTGAGACCTAGACGGTCGAGTGCTGGCATCGTAGCCACTCAGAGCTTTCTCTAATAGCTTAGCTTGGGTGATGGTTGCAGGGAAACCATCCATGATCCAACCTGTTCCTTCTGGGACACGCCTAGTGGAGACAAATATTTGGATTGTCTAAGTCTAGATGGATTTAAAAAAATATATTAACGAACACTACCCGTACTAGCATGTAAAAGTTTTTGAGACTCTAAGTTAATTTTTTAAAAAGAGTCTGCTAGAAAACAAAATGTGTACTCCCAGAAATGTAAGCAACTACTGTGTCAGATTTGCAGTGTCTCTCATGATTTTTTGAGCTGCATTTGCAAAAAGTAAAATCATACACTAACTATAGCATATAAGTTTGCAAGTGATTGAGCATAGAATATGGGCAATATCTGGATATATTGGGAGGCATTATGGCAAATATGATGCATGCAAGCATTCATGAATTCCAAACAGTGTTCCTATGTTTCACTTTGCTATCTAGGAATCAAACAGACCTAGTTGAAAACAACCATGTGTGGACGGACCCTACAGTATTCCTCAGTATATATGATAACATTCATTCCAATGGTTAGTGCTTAGTAGTTTGATTCATCCCAGAGAAACGTACACTCAAATTTTGATATTAAAGCACAGTGCAGCAATTGCTATGCTAAATGAATGGATATACCGTAAGATTGAAACAGACATTAAATTGCAGGTAAAAAACCACACAATGTTTGTGTTACCTTACAGCTTCAACCATGATATCTACCATAAGTTCGTCTTTGATTGGCTGCCCCTTACGAAGGAACGTGTTGGCTTTCTTCCCTAGCTTAGCTCTAGGAGTAAACTAAACAGAAACGGTTACAGTTAATGAATAAAATAAAATTAGGGGGTCTGAATTGGTAACAGGTCGTAGATCCACAACACAGTAAGTCTGTCAGTTGACGTACCTCTGGCTTAGGAGGGCCTTTTTTCTTAGGAGTTTTCTTGCCTGATTTAGCGGGTGATGCTGGGGTACTTGGAGCGGTCTGATTTTCACTACCTTCCTTGGCTTCCTCTGTCACAAGCCCCTCTTGGCTTCCGGTTTCTTTTTTTTCTGCATCTGATTTCTCTGTTTCTGTAATAAATTACAATTATTAATGAGACTACATGACAGATGAATCACTGTTATTACTTTTAGAATCTCAAACATGTATTTTGCTTGTCTTTATAAATCCTCTGAAATTGCAGAATGATATATTTGTTTCATGATTCCTGAATACAATGGCACATGGTTGTATTGAGGGTGGATACGACTAATACAATTTTGACACAAAAATATCTTGAAACTAAATTATTTTTTGTAACTGGCTAGATTTCAAATAATAACTACCGATTGTATGTTATTTGTCTATTTTGAAAAACAAAATGGCGACCAAATTAGGGTCTGATGCTCCCTATTTTTATTTGCTCATTGTCAATTTGATGGAACCTTTTATTCAGCAAAATATCATGACTTTGTAGTACTTTTACATTTTCAACATTTTTTTAATTAGTGAACCACTCCATCTTGAAAGTGAACACATTTTTTTGAAAACTGAAATCATTTTGCTAGTCTAGTTTTGTTGTAAATTAGTAGTTTAGCTGACAGAAATGTGGGTAATTTGATAAATCACTGACATTTAGGATGACAAAATCGGGTGAGATCGGGTAACTGGAGCACCCCAGTGAAATGTTCACTGGTAAATGTTTAACATTACAGTGGTTTACAGTTTTAATAGGATGATCTACGTCAAGTACAGCATTCTCCTTCATCTCCATGCATGACTTCATACTTCAGTTTACCATCATGAATGATAGTTATTCAGTATGATAAGATCTTTAGATGTTCACTGAACCATCATCCTAAATTTAACCAACTAAAAACATTTTTCTCATCAAAACAATCATGAGATCAATATGAAAATGAGGTATTTACATTTAGATCCTTATAAAAATGAGACATGGACATGTTTTGCAAGCATACACGACGTGATATACACCAATGTACGATAGATTACATTCTGCATTGAAGCAGTTTGTAACAAGATATACAATGTCAGTCACAAACTTACCTACCCCACCTGTAATCAGTATGTTTTCAAAACTTAAAAAATGAAAAAAAAAACTTGACAATGAAAAACTGTGATTTTTAGTACTAAAGTACACTGAAGAAAGAAAGCAACACAATGTGTACAACTGAAAGCAGGAAAAGTGAATTTATTAGATGCTTAAGCTAAGCATGATGAATATCAAAGCATGTGTCGGGGGAGGTAAGAGGTTGAGGACTGCAGCAGTCTACCTTTTACTTTCTCCTCTTGTAGTTTATTACTGTCTTCCTGTACTGTTGTTGGTTCTTGGTCTTGAAGCAGTAGCTGCCCGTCGGCAGCACTGGGAGTTGGGGGGATAACATTAACTAGAAGTAACACCACAGAAAAATAAAAGAAATATTCACCGACACGTACATTAAACACTGAAGATAGAGGGTTAGTTATTCATTAGCTATGGGAATGATTATAATGAAATTAGTTGAACGATGACAGGCAATGATGCTATTATATTTTATGCTCTAGTGCAGGCATACAACAAACCTGGAGTAACTTGCAAACATAATAACACCAACCAAGTATTTCCACTGATGTGCAGTTTGGAAATAAATGTCTTGTGTAAATAATTAATAAATAAACATAAAAATTAAATTAAATAATTTTGATGAAAACTTTTTAATCATATCCTAATGATATACAGTGTGGACATATGAGATGTTATTATTATTTTTATAAAGGCATTATTATTATTTTTATAAACTAAACTCAAGGATTGCGTTATTTAACCTTGAATTCAACTCCATGGACTCATCTCTCCCAGCTGCAATATTTGAGTGAGACTCATTGATGAATAATGAATAGACTTTCAGTTTCTCTACAGTCTACAAAAATTCTAACGCAATCCCTGAAATTTAACTAACAGAATTTTAAATTGGGATATAGTCCGAGGAAATAAAAATGTATATCGTTATCATTTACTGGAAAAGAGGAAGATTCCAACAAAAATGAAATTGGTTTTGATTACTGTTTGAAGTAATTGCTATAACTTATCTATCTATACATGGTATTATTATCAGTATTTCTAATATATTTAAAGATAAAAAAATGGACACATTTATATGACAGGTTCTTATTTAAATCTACTTAGAAGAAACTAATAGAATTGAATTTTGGGACATTTATATATTGTTCAGTCTCTCTGATTGTACAACTGAGGCAAAATAAATATTTTGTCTGAAAAATATTGAAAAACAAATTTAAATTTGTACAGTTTAAAACTCAATATAAATGTCCTCATAAGGGAAATTATCTAAGGTATGCAATGTGCGAAAGGTAAACTAACTTCCGACAAGCGACTTCCGAGCTGGGTGTAGAACCAAATAAAATTTTCACATAAAAGAAATATGCAGAATGGTATGAAATGAACAAATAAACAAAACAACATCAACAACAGCAATAAACATGCACAGAATACAACATGCACTTCCCCTATAGTCAACAGACTATTCTCTCTATCTATGTATATTTATTGAACTCATGGAAGATTATTTGGTATCTTTATGAAATTGTATATTCACGTTGAGTGATGTATGTTTATAATTATGTGTTAAATGATACATGCTATCATGCTAAAAAAAAAAATATTTAAGCAAGAACAGGATAAAAATGCAGTTGTGCACATTAGTTGTATCAAATCAGTCTCGATATAGACAATTTAACATGCATTTCAATATCCAATGAAAAAAAAAAAAAATAATTTCACAGGCAATCAGGCAACACTCCTCCCACCACCCTCATAGTCTTAACTTATTGATATTTTATACTCAGGATATCATGAGTACCGGTATATTACAAAGTAAGTAGTACGGTGATTTTATCAAG